GACTGTGTCTGAAGTCAAGTATCCAAAACCAAAGCCCTTGAGATGGAGCCTTTATTGTCTGGTGCTTCAAATTCTTTGTTTATGAAAAATCGTAGTTTGAAATTAAGTACACCAAGTGGAAGCTTTTCCTATCTTCACAATGATGCCTTTTTGCAGTTCTGAGTGGTCTGACTGCCTTGCAAGCCTCATCAGTTCCCAGCATCCATAAACAATTGCTTTTGTCCCTAGAAGTGGAAAAAGATAGAAGAGGTGGAAACCCTAGGATAACAGGGTCTCTATTGAATTTCCTTGGCTCAGAAGAGCTGACAGGCCAAGGAAGCCAAGGTTTTAGAAATGTTTCAGAGAGAGAGATGGGAAGGATTTGGTCCCTACAGAAATATGCCAACTAGCATTTGCTGTGCGATGGCCAGTGCCAGCCTGCTTTTGTTTAGTTCCGCCTAGCTTTAAACCGGAGGATGATTCGGGATCTTTTTCCTGTGCTGCTTCTCACGGTGGGTGTAGAATCTGCATTCAGAGCAATTACTGTGCTGCAGCCAGTGATACCGATTTGTGAAGCTCTCCAAGTTCAGATGACTACTTAGCAGGCTTGATGGTGATTAAAATTTTAGGAAGCAACTTTGTAATAGGACTGTGGGAGTCCTACATTTTTCATAAAGTGAGAATCTTCTGCATAAAGGCAGTGGGGCCACTGCCTTGCACTCCCGTTGGCTTTTTTAAATCCTCATTTTCCCAAAAGATTTTTTTTTTGTTTTTCCCTCTTTTTCTGTTTCAAAATACTCAGACAATTATACCGATAAAACACAAAAAGCTAATCACAAAAATGCAATCGGCACCATTCAGCAGAAAGTGTTGCAAGCATATCTCTGGTGTACTGAAGTTTCAGGGAGTATTACAGAAAGCCTGAGATTAAAGGCACGGACAAAGGGCATACTGGCATTTTACCATAAAGTGAAAATATAGACCATGGCAAGAAGAAAAGTTTGTGGATATACGAGTGATTGGTCTTTGAGAATGCATGCTAAAAGGGAGGAATAGAATTGAGAACTATGAGAAGAAAGTACTGCTGGCATAGCTAACAGAAGTTGCTCAGGATAGGGCATGGCAAAGTTTTGGACTGCTGTTTATTTTTAGAGAAATTTCTGAGAGAAATCAGTAACTGAGTGGGTCCCAGAGTGTAGTTCATCTGTACCCCTGTTCTTTGCAGGATGCTTGGTTTATAAGCTATTGAATGAGCAGCACTTTTTCTTGTTTAGTTTGTGCAGTGTACATTGACCAGGTAGCATTGGCTGTGTGCACAAAAGGTAATGAAGTAGAGCAGGCAGTTGTATCAAGTTAGAAACACTGAGTTTGAGGCTTTGGTGTTATCTAGGGCAAATCCACCATGTAGTTTCCTTCTTCCATGTGTGAAGTTTGTGTTTATTGATCACTCTAGTTTTGGTATAAGAACCTTGAAATCGGGTCATCAGTCAGAACTGGAATTTCTTTGTAATCAGTTAGGTGTATTCATTTTATTTCATACTGATGTCATGGACTTAACACTGTTACTTAATAATACTCAGGTTTGTAGAAGTACATTGTCCTCCTCAACTTCTAAGGATGATCCTTTTTTCCCCCAACCAAATGAAAAAGCCAAGTAAACCCACTAATAGTGTAGCTGCATACTTGGTAGTGTTGTGATAGATCTGGTTGGCATACCAGAAATTTAAGATTTCTCATGCATGTTCTGCAGTTCCTAATACCTTGTTTCCAGCAGATGCTTTAAGAACTGATTTTCCTACACATGTAAAAGGATATGTCTGTCTTCCTACAGAGTGCATGTTCTCAGGTGCAGTGAAGTATTTATCTCCTGTATATGCTCACTGTGGTCAATATTGCATTTCTGAATGTCTCCTAGGCTTTTATATGCCATATAGTAGTAAATAATAAAGCTGAGGTAAGCTATATAACACATTACTCACTCTGAGAGAAGGTGGCCCAGGACATTCTAAAAATTACTTACAATGCATAGTTTATCTGCAATTCATGTTTTTAAATGTAGGTAATAAACATATTTCAGGTCTTTTGTGTTACCTGCTTTGAGACCTTTATGTGATCACATGTGGGTGTCTGTACTGTAGATGTCCAGACATCTTATACTCAATGGAGAGAAACAGCACTTTCTAGGATAAAGTTTTTCTCATGAAGTCATATCTAACACCATTCAGATGAACTGCAGTGCAAAACTGCCTGTTTCTCCTCATTACCTGCAAAAAGAGTTGAGTGTGATTAGCTCAGAGTTAAATATCTGTAGCATATAACTGTGTAAGCTGAATATTACTTTATGTGGCTTTTCAGGTCATATGGAAGGATGTGTAGACAAATATCACAGGGCTACCATGCACCAAGACAGTATGATACAAGAAAATGTGACATTAAAAAAGTTCTGGTCAGTAAGCTCTCAGCATAATCCAGACAGGAGTTATGTTTCTGGATGTCAGCTGAGTACAGCTAATATTGATTGTCCTTTGCAACTGATTGTTCATGTTATCATTTAATATTTCAGGCCTGACTGTGACCTTGTGCTGTCATAAGTGAATTAAGTCTCTTATATATCAAAGCAATAGAATGTGTACTTTCTAAGGTAGGAAAAAAGATCTAGTAGATAGGAAGACCTGGATATGGTTCTTACCTCTACCTCAGATGTCCTAATTGACTTTAGGAACTCCCTTAGATTCTCTGGGCCTTAGTTTTCATCTTCGTTTGTCATCACATTTCTAATTTGCAGGGGTTACAAGATATCAAAAGATAGCAAGCCCTTGAGTAAATGAATAATGTTTATCACCTGCCATGTTTCAGCCATCCTTGTTCTGTACATCCTTGGGACAATTGATGGCTTAATTCTGCCTTGAGTTGAAGCTTCTGTAGTCCCAATACTGCATGTTGTAGTGTGAGACTAAGTAATATGCAGGTCATTACAGCTGTAACCTTCTAACTTTCAGGGCTTGGTGGGTCCAGATATTTATAAGCTGCTCTTAAGACGTTAAGAGTTTGATGTAAATTATGTCTTATATCACAAGTGAAAACAACTGTGACAATCACATGCTGTCTATCAGTGAGATGTCTCATTCTGAATTAGCTGTCTTTGCCTGAAAAGATGCAATAGAGGTGTTTCTTGGGATCAGAATAGCACTGTGAGGAGGAAACTCACAAAGCACCTGACTGTAGACTCACAGCATTTATCTAGGGCAACAAGTTCTTTGCTGCATGAAAACCATTGTTGCGTGTCTCTGAAGAGACAAAGTGTTCGAATCTGTGGAATATAATCCTTGTTTCTTTGGAAGGTTCACGTCCCCATGGGGCTGTGTGAGGTCAGGAGGAGAAATGCACAGACAAAGATGTACTGTGTCTTCTGCAATAACCTAATTCCAGGTGTGCTTAAAGCCTGTTTGAATAAACAAGAATAAAAAGGAGGTATGCAAAATTACAAGCTTAGTCCTTCTGCAGTTTTTTTAGAGCTGTTTGTCACTGGCATCTATCTATCTTGAACTGCATTGTAACTAGCAGGCCCAGCATTTTGGCCCTAAATCTGATGATGATAGCAGGTAAAGGAAAAATGCTCTAGGAAGGTACTCCCTTCCCACCCATTTGGTGTCAATTATCAGGAAACAGAGATTTTAAATGGGAGTTGAATGTTTAGGAGAAAAAGACCTTGCTGTAAATATTAATAAAAATTGAGGTGAAAGCAATACTGGCTCTTTTCTAATTCCAGTTCGCAGCAAAGGAGAAAAAAAAAGTCCAAACCTTTTCTAGCTGTAGAATTGTCACAGATTTTGTCAAGCAAAGATAAGGATTAATCAGGACACAAATAGTCTTGTTATTGTTAACATTTTTATAATAGTTATTAGTTAATGCGCATGATGATTAAGGGCTGGATCTGCCTCTGATTGCAGTCAGTGGGAACTGAATTAAGGTCTAAATCACTGTTTGAACCTCACTTTTGATTCTCTGAAAAATAATGAGGCTTTGAACAGAACAGAATCTAATTTGTCTGTCACTGGAAATGAATGTTTCTCTTCCCTCATGCATCTATTAACTTGGAAGTCAGGCAACTAACAAGAAAGTAATTGTTTAACCCTTAGCCTTAATCTAGGGTTATGACTTGGATGATAGGACCAAGACCAGAATCAAGGCTGATTGTCAGAGGTGCTGCTGAGGCTGCTGTACATTAGGACATACTTGCAGTCCGTACTGCCATAATTCAGACTGTCCATCAAACCACTGGCCATTTGGACTGTCCCAGGGAGTTAGTTGTTGAGGCCAGCAGCGCCAGTCCAGGGGAACCACAACAATGGAAGGAAAGCCTGAGTCTATAAACCCCTTACTTGCAGTGCTCAATGTCTTTTTGTTGTTGCTTGTTAATTCAGAGTCAATAAACAGTCTTTTCTGAGTCAATCTGACTTTTATTTTATTAATGGAACACTGTTTTTATTAGATTAGACATGATAAAATGTCTCAGGATGAAATGGGTTTTTAAAATTTCTTAATTAATGATGGAATATTGATCATTAAGAGTGTCAATTAAGCAAATGTGCATAAAATGTCCAATATAAAGGAACAACTATAATTAGTATGGTGGCAAACACTATTTTCCCATTAATTAAAGTCATCTGTATCCCACCCAAAACTGAAATACATCCTTCTGACCAAACCAGGAGACACATCAAAATGCCAGGTGCCAATGAGAACAGACACAAGTCTCTAGGTGGAAAAAAAGTGAAGTAAAGGGGTCAGAAATAAAGAATTTCTAAGTGCAATGGCATTGATCCAATAAAATGGTAGAATTTCCTTCAAATTTTCAAGTTTATTTTAAGGAAGACTCGAAAATGCTTTCCAAATGATCAGCTCTTACTTGTGAGTGTGAGTTTAGATCCAGCTAAACAGGATTGCCTGTGGAATTAATATCTCAGACATTTTTGGCATCAGTTGTTTTTAATGCCCTTGATTCAATCTGTCTTTTACAGGTCTATGATGGGGTCTGGTAGAGAACCTGATCTCGTGCACCTGGAGGCAAAGACAGTGGATGGTCGTAAGTACATCAGCTTCCAAATAATGCAGTATTCTGGACTGCCCTCTTATTCTTGTAACCACACAATATGATGGAAATCTGACCTCTCTTTAGTGATTCACTCATTTAATATGAGGCGTTTGACTGTTCCTAGGCAGGTCTGTCAGAAGAGAAGTCTTTCCAGCAATGCAAAAAGTTGAGATTAACAGACTGTGAAAGGAGCAGAGACCATGGTAAGGAAGAATAGGTGATAAGCAGTAATCAGAGTTAGTATATACAGCACTTTTCTTTCTTCTTACATGATTTTTATTTATGGGAAGGTGGCATTGGAGAGAAGTTGCTGGGTCCCAGGATCTAGCTGCTGTTGTTTGACACAATAGTTAGTATCACCTTTTTCATAGCTTTACAGTTTTAACACACCACGGTACTGCCTTTGAAAATACCGTATTTCTCTTGCATTAGAAACCTTTTAATGGCCAGCCTAAGTTTATTTTTCACCATTATTGCTTGACCCATCATTGTCCTTCACTTTCATCAGCTCCTCTCCCTCCCTGCTTTGCCTCTTGAAGTGCTTTTCTCCATTCCAGGAGCCTCCTTTACCTGCAACTCCAAAATATTCTCCTAATTGGCTGTAAATTCTCTCAGGCAGCTAAGCCACCTGCTGGCCTTTTCTGCCACCCATACTTCCACAAGGTTTCTCTTTGAGCTTCCTTGCCTTTGCAGATCTTCCTCCATGGACTTCTTTTCCACAACACTGGATTGCCTCAGGCAACCATCACGCTGAAAGCCTGGCTGCCATAGATCTTGTCACTGTAATTTCATATTTTTTCCTCTGTAAATAGCAGCTTTGCTGCAACATAACAAGCGTATTTTTACCATTTGCAATATATAGGTATTAATGATGCAGTCAATTAATTCCTTTAAAAACAGATAAAATTCTCCCCTGAATTGTAGCCCCAAATGTAGTGGTGTTACTTAAAATATGTGTTTTGTCCTCTGAAACTTAAAAACAGTCTGAAAAGGTAACTGTAAAGGTAATCAGTTTTTTAACTCACTGAAATTTAGCATGAAAGAGAAATTTTTGAAAGATTAATTTTGAAAAGAAATAGTGGAAATAGAAACCATAAAGTTTTAAATTTCAAGATACACAAAATCAGTAAAAGTGAAAGACTGCATTATCTCTATTTCTTACCATTTGTGATCTCTGATTATTATTTCTCCTCTCAATTTCACTTACCTGGACATAGCAGCAAGGCTGGGAACATGAGGCTTTCTGTTTCTTGGGACATGCTAAATGAGAATGAAATATTCTAACTGGGCAGTGTCTATTTCAGCACAAAATATTACTGTTATAAGGCATTAAGAATTTGAGGTCATTGAAATGCAGCACTACAGTTGATGTTTAAGGAGCTATATACTGGTGATGCTTTTGAGGGATGTTCAGCTCTCACTGGGCAGAGAAAGTGCCATGCTCCAAATGCCTTGAATGGTCTTGTTTGAATTCTTAGGCTGTCATAAGAACATTTTGCACAGCTATAGCACATTTCTGCAAAAGGCCTCTTGAGTGCTTAACAAATTAGTAAGCTTTATTACAGATCTAAAGGTGGAAACCAAAAAACAGGAAGATGAAACTGACCTTACTGAGGAGTCAGGCATATTAGTAAAAAATCGTGGAATAACGAATTATTGTTCATCAACTGAGCTCTAGTAACTGATTCTGCGCACCTATATTGGCTTCGTTGTGAGGCTGCGCAACTTGGATTTCTCTTTAGGCAGTGACAGAACTACTAACGTAAATATAGTGGTGATGTGAAACCTTCGGCCAGTGGTGACCCCTCTTGCAAACTGGTCATTTGGATGAAACTTCTGCTCATGAGTCAGGAGGTCGCCAGCTGAGCTCATTAGCAACATAAGAAAATGTGTTGGGTTTTCAGTACATGCATGCTCTGTTTTGCCCATTGCTCCTGGCAGAGGACTATGGTGGGTAGCTGGATGCAGTAACCTTGGTATGTCTCACAGCATTTTTTGCCGGAAGACATTTGATAGCACTGCAGGTCACAGGATTTTGAGACTGAAATGGGCTGAGTGTGCACATGGTCTGTTACTCTAGTTGCCATGGCATATACAGGTCTCTTGGCTATTAGAGCCGCCTTCTAAGTACTAGATCGATCTCCTTTTCCTGCATGAAGTAACCATGACCTTCCAATGGTTCAACAAACCTTTCTCCTCTGGAATGAAGCAAGTGTGTCGCTGCCAGTGAGGTGATGGGGTGAAGTGTGCTGAAGTGAGAAAGATACTTTTTTTCCAAGCTGAGGGTAATTTGCAAATAATTTTTCTTGGATTTTTTATGTTGTGGGTTTTTTTAATGTTCTTGCATTTACTTATTTATACTTTGTTTGGGATATCTCTTTTGAGAGTTAACCATGTGTAAAAATTCAATAAAGGGATTAAATTTGAGAAGGTAGACTTGCCAAAACAAGGCAGGGAGAAAGAAGGAAAGAAAGGGGAGTGGTGTGGAAACAACCACAATCTATACAATAAAAGAAAAGATCCTGAAGTGCAAATATAATGGCTAAGCAAAAACCCGCTGAACTCAGTACAAATAAGAAAAAACACCTCATTCTTGCGCTGGTATCTTTTCCAGCAGAAGCCAAGTAATACAATGCAGCTTTAGGTGAGAAGAAGTAGAAATGTCGACAGAGTACAGTGTTAGCCCATCTCCCTGGCAGGGTTGTTTGAGAACATCTATCAGCAACAACCTTAGTATTGGGCCTTCCCTGCTAGAACACCAATAACTCTCTCTCTCTGCTCCCGGATTATGATCTGTCTGTGCATTTTATTTATTGTGTTTATATACATAATGTAAAAGGTTTACAAGGACCAAAATAGGAGTCTTTTAGCAGGCATAAATCAGTACAACTTCTGTGGCATGTTGATTTACACCTGCTGAGGATCTGGCTAGCAATGTTGTACCTGAGTGCTCATTCTCCCTACTGTTTTTTTTTTCTTTGCAGTCCAGAAAAATCTGGACTCCTCCTCAACACACTGTGTCTCATCAAACTGGGGTGCAGGTAGTGATGAACAAAATGAGTACAGACTGTGCATCTTAGTTGTATTGATGCAGGCAGATTAGCAGGGCTAATCATTGCCATTCATGTTTTTAATCTTGTGTAAATTTTGGAGAGCACCAGGCAAATTCTCATCTTGTCAAATGTGATTGTTTTGTCTATTTTTTAAAGGCTTCAGGCCCAATCCAAGTCAAACTGAGACTGAGAGCACAGAGGTAGAACTGAATTTTCTGGTTGGAAGACGTTTGTATGAACATTATCTCACATTTCCATTTGTACACTTGGGTGTCCCTGGTGTTCCACTTTGGTTTTGGAACAGGATCAAGGGCAAGCTGGCAAAGTCAGAATTATGACTTTTTTTGCCTGATTTCAGATTGGCATCCCAGTAAGACAATCAATCCCCTACTATTCTTAATCATACAATAAGCTTCTCTTTGTTACATTCACCACCATAATCAACAGGCAGAGTGACTGGTAGAAATTAAATCTAGGTTTGCTCAAATGCAGCTTGAAGTGCTTTCAGAAGGTGTGTAAACTTAATGACATGTGGGTTTTAGATCTGTAAAGAATACACAAGTCCTGAAAGATCCATAATTAATGGGCTTATCTGATTTGAGCTAGGGAGGGTTATCCCAGTAAGGCCTGTTTCAAGCTAATTGACATAGGAGGTAATTTTTATTCAGGTGATGCCTACTGAGGAATCCAGGCTGTTGGTGAGAATTAGAAAAATGAATTCCTACAAGGCATTTGGAGACTAACTAGGTACCCACTGACCCTCCAGAGAATGGCAAAGCTGACTCAGAGGATGTCTAAGTGACAGTTTCTATAGATGCAAGTCAAGAAAACCAACTGTTACGTTTATGAGATATGTATTTGCTTATGTAGATAGATGTGAATTGATTTTGAGTAAAGTTATTAATTTATGTAATTATTTTTTTAAAATGTGGATGAAAGAAGCTAAGGGGTTTTCTAATGGACTGGCAAAAATTTAGAGAGCTCCTGATATTTAAAAAGTACTTTTGCTTCCTTTGCTTTTCTTCTGCTGTCCTGATTTACACAGCAACTTTTCTTATTGAAAGGTAATTTAGGTGCTGCTGTGATTGCAGGTGAGACCAAAGTCTCACCTGGGGTCAGCAGGCATGCTCTGCTTGCTGGTCAACAGGGACTGAGCATCTGGCCGACAGTGTCTGAATCACAAAGCTGTGCTAGGACTTTTTTCTGTTTTCACAGAACATTGCTAGGAAAAATAAAGTAATCACTGCTGTGGAAAAAACCAAGTAGGCAATGTAGCCAGACAGACTTGTGCTAACATAGCTAGAGTGGTGAATTAATTCCCATAGTGGCCTGAACCTATGCAGTGATTTTTTTCCTGATCATGATTAGTATTTGTCCTGGAGAATGACATCTGTTAGTTTCTCCAATTACAGCCTTATGCCAGAAATGGCAGAGGATATACTTCCCGGTATGAAGAAAGATTCCTGACTCTGACATGCAATGAAGAAAGAGTAGCAGCAGGATAAAAACAGATTTGTGAGTAGTTAGTAAATGGGATGGCTTTGTTTCACTAAACTTCGTTACTGGTTAATTGCTTTACAGTTGCTGAGTCCTGGAGAGTTGTGAATATATTCCTGTATCATAAACATTTAACAAATCAATATTCAGACCAGATGGAAATGGATAAAAACCAGTCATTTTATGTGTTTCTCAAAAACGGAATAGAAAGATAAAAGTGTGGCAGAACATTTAATTAAATTGTGGAATTTGTTGCCATGGGAGGTTGTGGATGCTGAAGGTGTACGTGGACTACCAAGGCACCTGGACGAATTCTTATAACCTTTTCTAGGCTTCCGTTATTAGTCACTGTTAGAGAGGGGTTACAGGTGTGGGTCTTTCAGTGAGGTATGTTACTACCATGTTCTTATGGTTCGTTACTTACAGGATGCCAGTCATCCTTCGAAAGCAGAAACTATCCCTAATGTCTAAGCTGCTTAGTAATGAACTGAGATATTCCATAATAAATCTGGAAGACAAACAATTTATACATTATGTGGATGCTCTTTGAATAAACTCCTGATTTGTCCTTAGTGGATTTATTTGTAGAGAGAAGGACACATTCCTCAATGAATTAAAGACAAGAAAAATAAAAATTTTACGTTTGCAGTGAGTACAGTGAATATTTTCTCTGACTCTCCTTGTGATTAAATAAGATTTTCGAAAGATACATGTGCAAGCTTACACTAGAAAGCAGTGGGTATTAGGGTTTGATACGTCATCCAAAATAACATGTGGCAGCAAAGTATCCCGAAGAAAGTCCTACTTTCCTTTAGGGAAGGGATTTGATACTCTTCTGTGTACTTTTGCAGAGGCTCACCAACCTCCAGTAACCACCAATGACCTTCCGTCTCTACCAACTGAGCCAAGAAATGTCTCTGGGACAGGCTGGATGCATTTCCTGTGAGAACATCTTAATACAGAGCTTAAGCTAAACAGAAAAGACTAAAAGATTTCATGGCACAGAGTCCTCCTGGCTCTTAACTTTTACTGTGTGTTAGCATTTGCAATTCTCTTTCACCACTGAAACATTAATTTTGTCAGAGGTTTCCCTTACAAGATGTCTCCTCCATTCTTCTGTTCTGAGATTTTTCTTGCTTCCTCTTTAGAAATAGCTGCCATTCCCCAAGAAGAATCATACTCTAGGTGTCTAAACCTGTCAAAATCAAAGTGTCTGGGAGTGTAAAAGCTGGGGGTTGCTATGTTCTTCTCTCCAGGCATGGCATGATTTTGTTGTTGTGTATTAAAAACAGCAGCTGTTGTTGGAGGTGAGGGTTCTGGAAATGAAAAGCATAATGTCCTAATTACCTATGGCAGGGAAAACATCTGTGCAGGAAAACTAGTGAAATTAATTCCAGAGCTTGGCAACTGAATACATTAATTGACATTAATTAATGCTAAATTACAAAGCTCTGCCAATGGAATCACATAAAATGTCCATGAGAATCAAATGCCAAAACAAAATCCTTGAGTTAATGTGAGCACAGCAAAACTTCCCTTAGGAAAAAAGAGGGATCCAGGCACTGCAAGAAGCCTAGTTTTCCTTCTTTCTGTCTCCCATAGCAAAGGGAGCTTTTTTTGGTGCACACATCTCAGGGTTTGGCTGTTTGGGAGATTAGCTTAAGCAATTTCAGTGCTCTGCCCTTTAGTAGTTATTGCTGGCATTTTAGAATTGAAGCCGTGGAAAATTGCACTGTAAAAGTTCACAGGAATTGCCCTAGTAAATCTTCATCAATGGTACAATCACTGCTGCACAGACTCCTGCGATAGCAGCAGAAATAGACCTGGTCCCCATTTCTCCATTAAAAGAGAATCAAAAAAACTTTAGTCACCTCCGATGGACGTCAGCCTGGCCTGCTTTTTGAAATCTTATGTGGAGGAAATTCCTTAATCTTCTTTGCTGGCTGGTCCCAGTAGCACCCATCCTATTACCTCCCTGTGCTCTCAGGGTAGATAACCTACTTCCATGGGAAGTAAGATGGCACTGCAGTCTCCTCTCTGTGACTCCCAGATGGCTGGTGTGCCTGTGGACAGAAAAGGAAACAAGGCGGGGGGAAAGGTAGGAAACAGAGGTCTGATCCTATATAGCTCTATGCTGGGTGATTCGATCCCATGTGTGAAAAGCCTCCCAATCTTGCCAACAGCTCGAGGGGGCAGTGGAGCCAGACATTTCAACTGATGCTGCTTTGTTTAAGCTCAAGATAGCCAGACATTCCACTCAGGAACCTTCTTGAGACAGAATGAGGAATTCTACCTGCAGTACTACGTTCAGCTCTGGAGTCCTCAGCACAAGAAAGATGGACCTGTTGGAGCGGGTCCAGAGGAGGTCTGAGAAAATGATCAGAGGGATGGAACACCGCTCCTACAAGGAAAAGCTTAGAGAGTTGGGATTCTTCAGCCTGGAGAAGTCAAGGCTCTGGAGAGACCTTATTGCAGCCTTCCAGTACCTAAAGGGGGCCTATAAGAAAGATGGGGACAAACTTTTTAGTAGAGCCTGTTGTGATACGACAAGGGATAATGTTTTTAAATTAAAAGAGGGTAGATTTAGACTAGATATAAGAAGGAATTTTTTTACAGTGAGGGTGGTGAAACGCTGGAAGAGGTTGCCCAGAAAGTGGTAGATACCCCATCCCTGGAAACATTCAAGGTCAGACTGGACAGGGCTCTGAGCAACCTGATGTAGTTGAAGATGTCGCTGCTCATTGCAGGGATTTTGGACTAGATGACCTTTAAAGGTCCCTTCTAACCTAAACTATTCAATGATTCTATGAATGTGAGGGCAGATGTGGGGTCTCTCCTTCATGTTACAATGGATTGAATTAAACAGGAGGAATGGGAATTTGTTGTGTTGCAGGTGACGAGATGCATGCCCGTTCTCCATCTTATGACAAGGAGGGAACATGCTACACTACTCAGTACTGCTGGGTGGTGGAAGAGGCTCTGGCCACCTTGTCTCCCTCCTTCCTGGGAGCAGAAAGACAAAGGCTGAACAACTCTGAAAGGGAACTTTCCTGAGCTCACTGGAAAGAGCAGGCTGGGAGTTACGTCGTTCCCTGCCCTCTCGTGGCTAATGTGGAAAAATCATGTCTCTCTGAAGGGAAATGCATTTTGATCATGCTGTCCAGGCTGTATTAATTAATGTTTTGCAGTGAGCTGTGAAAGCATAAAATGTTATAAACTGCAGTGACTAATAATACTTAGCACTTTATATATTCCACGAACTCTGCAAATGCTGGGGTAAAATCATCCCTCATCAAACTTCCCTGAAGGTTCGTTACCCTCCATGTCTGGTTCAAGCAGAAGTCAACAGCCCTTAGAAGCAACGAAAGAAATGTCAAATGATAGATTTTAATTAAAACCAAGATTAAATATGAGATGGTAAAAATCCAGCCATTTCTATTTAAGTGTAAAATGCTACTTCTGTGATCAGAATGTGGTAATTGTATCAAACAAGGGGCTGCACTTCTCCAACAAGGAAAAAGATTAGAAGTAGTTCTGACGTTAAATGCCATGTAGTGTTTCTGTCATATAAATGCTAATGCTAAAATGCCAAAATCCTTTTTCCTGTAAATCAGCTTTGTCATTAAACAAGGTGCAACTTCTTAATTGATCTGAAAGAGCCCAAATTGAATACTGAGAATATGGTTCTGTATTCTAGGATAAATTGTCACCATGAAGAAATTCAAATTGTTTTTCTTCAGGTGATGGATTATGACATGAGCATCCTGCAGTGCTTCAGAATAGGAGATGAGGAGATCCCATACAGTGACAGGAGATGAGATGGCTTTAGGGCTGCATTTAGGCCATTTACTTTGAAATGTATGACTGACTGAAACTGCTAAGGCCTCTAGTTTCAAGAGAGTGTGGAATGATTGCCCAGGTCTGCCAGAGTGCGTCTGCCTACAGTGTCAACAGAGAAGTAGGTAAAACCCCTGAACAGGAGGTGGTCTGAATTACTTTCCAAGGTGATCTGAATTACTCTGTGGAGCCGGAGTGCTGTAGGAAATATAGAGGTGTGCCATGGAAGGGGTTGTCAGTGGTGACACTATGGGACAGGTGTCCTCTGAAGGTGTCCTCGTACTTGTGTATGCTCTGGACCTTGGCCATGTTTTAAACAGAATGTGACCATGGAGAAGCTGTCATGCTCTACAGCAAATCCCATACAATGGGGATGACAGGGAAACTGTAGAGGCTCAGCACAGAGAGTATCTGTCCTGCAGCATAGACACAAATCTTCAGACCTGGAGTTACTTCGGGAGTCACAGGACTTCGACTGTTTGTTGCCTCTACAAAGGGTACTTCACAGCTCTGTTGTTCGCTCACTCAGTTCCTTGCTTTAAGCTTAAGCCTGGGTAGCATCACAGTAAACTCAGCAGGGCAAGTAACAGTGCTGAATGGTACGCCCTTGACTAGGTTTCTGTCAGACCTGAGCCACAAGCATTACATTGTGCCACCTTCAAACACTATCTCTGGTCTACTTCCAGCATGGAACCACAAGAGTGGCATGGAGTAATCAGATCAGCTATGCTGGGCTCTCTCTTGGTATAAAGGAGCAATGTATAGCTCTGATGTAAGGTGAAATTAAAGAAATAATGGGAGGCTGAGGCAGATGAAGAGGGAAGGAAGTTAAAGGAAGAAAGTAATCAAGGATGGATTTACAAGTGGTGTAAGGGAAAGAAGTGTGTTGCGTTGGATGGATGGTGTCACTTCATGTCATGTGAGGCTGGGAAGCAGAAATGCTGCCTCAGCAGATAGGTTTGTGACAGTGGGAAGAATCTGTGCTCAGGATCACAAGTGCCTTGATTTTGTTCTTTTCCTTTCAGATGCCCAATACATCACCTGTAAGATGCAGAACTGCAGTGAAGCCACTCGCAGCAAACCCTTTCCAGGCTATATTGACCACAACTCCCTGATTGTCCAGGATGATTATGTCTTTGTTCAGGTGCAGAACACCCTCTTCTCTTATTTATTCTGTTATTTTATATTATATTGTTCTATATTGTATTATATTATTTTCTCTTCCATTCCTTTGCATGTGTGTGCATGTGTGTTAATCCCAACTAATCAGACAACACTAGATGCAAATAATAAAGGCACTGAGTGGATTGTAGCAGTTCATTACAATGCTAATAGTGTTCCTTTTGCCTCTAGTATCTTCTAATTTTAGAGTCATAGAGTTTCTGCCTGGAGCATCCACCATATGTACTGGAGTGCTCTGTGCCACTCCCTACAATTTCATCAGCACTCTAGCATTACTGCTGTAACTCCCCAGCTTGAAGCGATGTGTCAGTCATCTGCTATTACAAGGGAGTAGACCAAAGCTTTTTTGAGCATGAGAGAGAGAAATAGAAAAGGAGGGAGGGAGTCAGCGGAAGAACCAAAAAAGGAGTAATCAGGCTTTATTGTTATGCCTCAGTTGTGATTATAGTAAGAAGGCTGAGGATGAGATGTACTCAGCCAAGCTGTGTTCCAGGTGAGAGCTGGTGAATAGATCTGAACTACTGTGAGTTTCATTAGGCTGCCATCAGTGTCCATTTAATAACAGCTGAAGAGCACAAAAATAACAACAGAATTGCAGGGAACATGGAAGTGAACTGGAAATCATTAGGACTAAACTGGTCTTCCAGACAGTTTATATTCTGCCATGCTCGGGGTGGAGGGAAGAGAGAGGACTGATATTTTAAATTGGAGAGTTGATTGTTTATTACCTTCAGTTAATGAACTCAGTCATAAACACCAGTTTAAATCATCCACAAATAAATTTGGGACATACATTCCAGAACAGCTTTTGTGCCTAGTGAGTCAGAGGCATAAATGAAATGTTTATATGATAAGGCAAACAGGGCCACGCATCACTGTTCAACCATGCTCTGTGAATGATTGTGTGTTTGTAACTTGAGTGATACAAGAGTTGAGGAATTTCTCTTCACATGCGAATTGATTCGTTACTTCATCACTGATGCCTTGGTTTTGTGCTCTTCAAGACTGTCAGTCTTCTGTGTTCTGACCTGATGTTTTTACACACTCTAGAGAACCCAACCTCTTTGCCTCATCTGAAGCCAGCGCTGGGGAGATTGTCTACCTTTCTGGATAGCCCTTGTATTTTGATGCATTTCTCTTTCTGTCTATAAAACTGTTGTATAGTGTTCCCAGTGCTCTCAAGTTGTGGCTTTGTTCCACCTCTGTGATAGCTACACAGTGTAAGGAGGAGCATGTGAGGAGAAGCAGCTTCTTCCAATGTTCCCCTTAATGCCCAATGGGGCTTTGCACAACTTTATATATTCACATTTGTAATGCAGTTTGAGAAGGTATCATGTAATGTTTGGATTTAGAAAGCTCCCATTTTATTCCTTAAAATTCTTAGGATTCTTAAACAGAAATAAATATAACAAGTCAAGGAGATAATACTTGCCAATCATTAATAAATGACACTTACAGATATGAAATAATAATATTTTAATCCCTGGGAACAACCACTGCTTTGTTCAAAGTAGTCAGTGAATTCACTGTTGGCTGGTAATTCAAAATGGAATTCTTCGAGTGGTTGCATATGTATCTGGATGTATCTGGCTGGCAAGGAACAGCTAAATAACACACCGTGGCTGATGCTGGACCTCGCTTTATCCCAGGCACTGTTCTTCAGAGGATGAATAGCCCTATACCAGACTGTAAAGGCCTTGAGGACCCTTCCTTAGCCTTCCCTACCTTCCTTGATCTCCATCTAGTTTTTCTTCAACTAAGGTGTTTTGTAGGAGAATTAGTACACTCAAAAGCATGAGTATAAGAGAATGTAGGTTTATTTGTCCCACTACACCGTGTTTTATTTACAAACGCACTCTCTCTCGTAAACAGTGCTTCTGGCCTTCCTTCTCCTGACTTTTGCCCAATTCCTTTAAAATTGTTGAAGAGCTTTAGAATAAGAAATAGTACTTATTTTACTTAATCTGGTATGAACCTAGCCTCTGTGTATCTTGCATTTTAAACTACTGCAGTGCATTTTAAAACACCTACTACTAAAGAAAAGTCTTGATAAGCCCTGATATCAGGCAATTAAAGCAAAATTCTGCATGGAGAATCCCTTGGAATATTTGTTCTTCAGTATCTTTCATCCAAGGATTTCAAAGTACTTTACAAACACTGATTATACTTCAGCAGCACTGGAAGCCAGATAGCATTGACAGCTTTTTTCCTTTCTATTTTTTCCCCTCTTTAATAGGTGGTAGGAAATGAAAACTCACGTTGCTCTAACCAGCATTTTCAAGGTCTTGCCATCAGTATTTAGGCACTTAAATCAATGGCCAGATTCACAGAAATACCAAATTGACTGAGCTGCTCCTGCCTTCGGGAGCTGTGAATGCTTAGCTGATCTCGTAACAGATACATAGGATGGCTTGTACAGGGCCACACAGGAACTAAAGCTGGAGGCAGAAACAGAAATCAAGTGTCATATCTGCCAATCTGCTGATCTAACCAATAGCCTACATGGCAGCTCTTCAGATAGCAAAGAGCAGAGTGTTTTGTGGTAAGGCAGAGGAGAGCTGTGGTATCAGCAGGTGACATAATGGCCCAAGTGAAGCCAGGACTTCACTTTCCCCAGACTTTCACCTGAAATTCTGGCCTTTGTCTCTCTTTGCAGCAAATGGGATTCCTTTTGCTTTCTTTTTTAGCCACTGTCAGTTGGGTCAATGTTTTTTCATCAATGGTAGTAGTGCTGCAGTTTTAAGCCGTTGCCACCAACAGTGTGGTATTTCCCTTGACAGCTTTTTCTTGATATTTTCCCTGATAATAAAAAATTATTTTAAAAAATCCTGATGATAACTTCACTGCTTCTCTTGTAGTTGACGTCAGGAGGAAGACCACATTATTACGTTTCTTACAGGAGGAATGCATTTGCACAGATGAAGCTGCCAAAGTACTCCTTGCCCAAGGTAGGTTGCTGTTGCTGGAATGCCCATATGAACCTACAGACATTTTGATTGTACAGAAAGTAACAACACAAGTAACTGCAAGACATGCAATGAGTGAAAACATCATTCTTTAACAGAACACTTGCAAGCAAGAAAAGACTGCAAACAAAGTCAGCACTTTGGCTAGTCAAGGACATCAGCATGAAATGTAGACAGATACCACAGCCCATGTCAATTACCATTTCTTTATGGTTAGTTAATTAAGTTTTGGAGGGGACTGTCTTTCTCTTTTCTTTTTTTTTTTTTTTTTTGGTCTTAAAATTCCCTTCTCCTGTCCCTATCCTGTATGGGTTGCTTTTTGTGCTTTGCCTCATTAGCAGATTTTAATGGGAACCAAGCAAAGAGATCTTTGTGTGCCTGCTCCATATCTTCCCTAATTAAGAACAATGGTGAATTAGCATTGGAGCTTGAAAGGCTATTGCTGCCTTCTGGAGCTGAATTTTTAAAAAGACCTATGTAAAATGTTAGTTCCATTTTGAAGAAATCACCGTTTTGCAGCTGGATTCCTAAAAGAAAAGAGAAAAGAAAGAGATTTTTTTTCTTTTGAGGCCTTTTCATTCTTGATGTGGTCTGGTTTAAATGAAATTTAAGCTCAAAAGTAGCAGATGATCTTGTGGATTCTATGTGAGGTCTAACACCTGGAGACAAATACATTTCCAGAAATTAAGGAAGGATTGTCAAAAGAAAAAAAGGAAAGTGCAAGGTCAGCCTGTTCCTAGAAGTTGAAAGTGCACCAGATTTTGTGGGTGGAAATATTCAAAGGGGTAATTTGGCTAATAATAACAACTGGCTCTCTTTGATTCCTCAACTCAGCTGCCCTATTTATAGTGGATTGACTGGTTGACCTTCGTATAACCAGACTGCATCTCAAACCCAGGCCTTCAATGCCATACCTTACCTACTCTGCTGTTGTACCCTTTGCTCCCATTTACATCACTTGAAAACCCAGCTTACAGGACATTGAGGACCCTACCAGAAACCATGATTTCTTCTTGGCTCTGACACAGGAGACCTGTGGTCTGCCCCAAAATCTTCAGTCATGTTTAAAGATAGGTTGATTTTAAACTTCCTATCCAAGCAGGAAGGAATTACTCTGTCAATTCAGATCAAATTTAAACAGGTGTTATTTGAAGTAGCCCTTAGCAAAGGAGTTGCATTTTTAGCATGGTTATTGTAATGCCTAAATCAAAATTGTCGTTTACAGCTGATTCAGACCATCTGTCGAGCACCTGCTAGCTTTGAACCTGTTGCCTCCTTTAGCCCACACTTATTTTTCCAAATGTCCAGTTTCTCAAAGAGATGTCTGGAAAGCCAGGGAAAATGTGCTACATTTAAATTTCAGTGTGTTCTCAGAGGACAGGAATTGGAGCAATATATTTGTGTTATTTGACCCAAAGAAAAAGGCAGATGTTTAAGGAGATAAGATGTTTTGTCACAATCTTAGAATATCTTCAAAAACTGAAGAGCTACATTTGGCTTCGAAGGAACTACAGTGGAGCTGTGGCTGTCTAGGGGGCTACTATCAAAGCAAGATAGCTGCTTTTATTAAAAATGCACAAAGCATTATATTATTCAAGGAACTGAAACAGCTTCTTTTATGCCTAAATTCTCTTTTATCTCCTTCAGCTAAGAAAGAGGGGCCACATATGGTAAACAGTACTAAGCGACTTGTGGAATTGAAGATGGGAATATCAAGTTTATTGTCTCTCCATGTCACTCATCCTAAACTGGAGGGGTGTGACAGTGGGCAGCTTTGGCAGGTGATACTGCTGCTTAGGCAGGAATGGCCTACAGCAAATCAAAAGTAAAATATTATTCTTGTTGGCATTGATAGCCTGGTAGCCAGTTTGATTTAAAGCCTAAATGAACTTGAAACTCTCTCCCATACAAGAAGACACCTGCACATGTCCATACAGATTGTGTTAACCCTGTAAATGGTCTTTATTGATACGTGTTGGTTTCTGCAGTGACAGTGATCTGTGAATTGGTACTGCCTATTCTGTACGACAGCACCACAATGTGGGCTCTGTCACAGACTCTGTAATGTAACTCATGATAATCACCTTAAATGTACACACAGAGTACATTCACTCCATTTTAGACCAATGCACTGGGCAGACATCTGTGAATACTGAAGCAAGCCAAGCAATTTCTCTGTTAAAAAGACCTTCCCTTAACTGGTGCTGGGCTGAATACTGATGGGATGGGTGCATGTGGTACCTCTGTTTTAAATTCATGACCTTCTTTCAACCTCAGGATGCATATCCTGATGGAAGAAGCAATAACCACAAAAAAATCCTTAAATACAGACCTTAAAAAGAACTGACAGTCCCAGTAATTGACAGGATAAAACAAGTATTACACATCCCTGCTATTTAACTTGCCAGGAATAAAAGTTCCCTGACCAAGTGCAAACAGGGCAATTGAAGCATGTTTAGTAATTCAGAAAGTCTTGGCCTTTCGTCATTTGAGTAGACACCTCATCAAACCCATGCACAGCATTGTGCTCTTACTTTTGTCTTTGGAAAGGCAGGAGGGACTGATAGTAGAACTGCATATTAATGTACTTCCACTATGTGCTGGAACAGAGAGAGGAAAGCTCAGGCTCTCAGTAGACAGATGCATGGGGAGCCCCTGAAGGTGACAAGGACTGTTTAAGAAAGATGCCTTGCTTCACTTTCCTGTCCTCTTCCCTTTCTGCATGGAGGTGAAATTAACATCTGTGGTAGTAGTGGAAGATGCAGTGAAGCTCATGCTCCACATCAAGATGAAGGCTGTTTTTTTGTATTATTCCTCCCACACACACTGAAAAAAAAATAAAATAGAAATTAATATGATATGCTGATTAATTTTAGTTTTCCCAATGTGGAAAACAAAAAATTCCTAATGTCGATCAAAGACCTGTTTCATACCCATATACTGATCCCTTTCTATCAAAGCTTTGCATTGTTACTGTATCTTTTGGACAAGGCCATATTAAGAGGAAAAGTTAATTGATTCCCAAAGGCAAACAGCTGGAACACTCTCTTCTTTGTCTTTCTGCACTATGTGCATTATGCCAATTCTGTCTCAATCTCTGCTTCTCCAGGATTAAATTCCTTCAGCCTTACTGGGATCTTCTTTAGACTTGCATCTTACAGCACGATCTGATCAACTCAGGAAGCAGCTAGTGAATAAATTAACTTACTTGCTTCTTAAGCATTCATGAAATTGCCTTTAGTTTTCCCCAGTGTTGATCAAAATATCTTTTTACCTCTCTCCCCTAGTTATTACGGAACTATTGATTAAAATGTTAAGTTAATGAAACTGTACCTTCACCAGACAAAACAAGTTTTACTTATTGTCTGTGTTTAAAAGGAGAGGTCTCCCCATGTGTATACACACATATGCAAAAGTTTAAACGTGAGATTAGAGCTGTGCTAGCCCATGTTGCCTGAAGCACTTTGGGAACACCTACTCATGTAGATCTACTAGCAGATTGACTAGGGTAAGAGACTGAAGTAAGGAGCCTCGGACAAAAAGCTGTGGCAGTAACTTCTACTAGTGTAGCTGGAGCTAAGAGAGGAAATCTATTCACAACCACAATTAGTATAAGGCACTGGGACTTATATTGCCTTTCCTGTTGCCTCAGGATTTAAGCAAATCTGTTCCTCCATAAAACCAGCCCATCTTCTGGGATACATTTTTCTCCAGCGCAAAGAAGCAAGTAAATCAAGTAAATATTCATCCACTCTATACTCAAATCTGGATCTGGATGAACAAACAACTGTTCTGAATCTTAACTTCATGGTGAATCCACTTTCAAATTTATAGATCAGATTTCTTCGTTATATTATTTTTCATCTTTACATTACAAGGCTCCACCTTGAAGTATTAATTTCCCCTACAAAACCACAAGAAAGTGAATTGTTAAAGACTATTACTAACAGAAGGAAGAAGTAGCATCAGCTTCCAAAGAGTAAATTTTCTGATAAAGTTCCCAGTTTTGCATGTAGAAGGCCCTGGCTGAGATTCATGGAAGCAGAATAACTTTGGGATATCTGCCCAAAACAGACAGAGCAGCTGAATCTTCTGGGAATCACCTGGTGCTAAGAAATCTGCATTTCTTTTCCTACCTCCACAGACTTTTATGGTACCAAAGAACTCAGGGTGCCTGTGCTGGGCAGATAGAGCCTAGGAATTTAATTATAACAATCTCTCTTTTGGTGTTTTTTCCCCTGGGTAATAATTTCTCCAGTCATTGAAAGGAGGATCAAGTTTAAGTGTTTTTGTTTTTTTCTTTATTTACGCAATCTTTTCATTGCTTCCTGCCTGCTGTAACGCACAGAACAGAGTAAAACAAAACCTCACTCATACTACTAGTGATCTAACTAACAATTCTGCTCTTTACATCTAGTGAAGATTAGGGTTGTCTTTCCGTTATATTTCTTGGGAGGCTGTTTAGCACAATAGTCCAGGGCCTTGGCTTCTAGTCATTAGAAATAATAAATAACAGCAGCACTAGCTGCAGACATGAACCCATTAGATCCTCCTTGTATCAGTTCCCAAGCATACTTGGTTTCTGAATACTAGGCAAGAAGCAAATGTTTCAGATGATGTTTTTTGATTCTTTCACAAAAACCCACACGTTTTTAATATCTGTGATTCCACAATCACAAATGAAATCACTCAAGTGCCGAAAAAAACCCCCAACAAATAAACAACCACCCCTCCCTCTCAAGCAAAGTACTTATTAAAATGGAAGTGTTGGTGTGTGGGGAAAGTGCTGCTGTATAACACTGTACTACTAGCGTAAATGTTCAATTAACAAACACCTCATCAGTTAATTACGGCTTTGAAAATTGGCAGAAGACAGCTGGTATAAAATATTCCTGGATGGAATTATCTGCTTACAGGAATGTTGTCTATGGTTTCCGATTAAACTCCAGCCTAAGTATATCCCTTGCTCCTCCACAATTACTTTGGTGCCCTTGGAAATGATAGAGCAGAGCACTCTCTAGTAACTTCCTCTCTTTTCTTTCCCCAGGACATGCATGTTATCAGCACAGATGAGAATCAGGTGTTTGCAGCTGTACAAGAGTGGAACCAGAATGACACATACAATCTGTATATCTCTGACACCCGAGGGGTGTACTTCACCCTGGCCTTGGAAAATGTCAAGAGCAGTCAAGGGCTGGAGGGGAATGTGATGATTGACCTCTATGAGGTATGTCATGACTCCAAACATCTCTTTCCTATCTCAGAAACTCACGTGATGCCAGTACTATTTCCTTCTTGCACATCAGTATCATAATATGCATGTGAACAGCAGAGCCAAAAGGCAATTAAACACGTAGTTTTACCCTCCTTTTACTTAAGGGTCTCAGTGCAATCAGCTGAGTTTCAAGGCCAGGTTTTACACAGGTGTTGAATTTAGGCCCAGCCTAATATTATGAACAGATTCACTGCCGTACTCTCCTGTAGGTTCACAGGTGAGGAAGAGCTCATGGCTCTTTCATGTATAGGAAGATATGCATCGGAAGACATAGTGGAATAGTTTATTCAGTCCGTAAGAGGAACTGTTCAAGTTTCTTAGCCTGTCACCATTTAAGGCTGGGCCAGCTCTTAAAAGGCGCAGCAGATACTGTCTATTAACCCCTCCCTCCCCCAGGGAGGGGAAGGGACAGAGAAAAGGGAAAGAGACTTACAGGTTGGAAATTAAAACTACTTTAATAAAACAATAATAATGAGAAAAGAGTATAATGATATTAATACTAATATTACTAATAATGGAAATAGAAGGAAAAGCATACAAAACCGATACTGAATTTCCTGATGATGGTCGGGGAATTGAAGGCTGCAGCACTGCTGTGGCAGGACAGGCACCCAAATGTCCCAGACTGGACTCCACAGCCCACGGATCAGGGTTGGAGGCAGGAGAACAAGCAGTGTCCCACAGGGATACTGGCCATGAAAGAAGAGAGACTGACCCTCATGATCCCTTAGCTTTATATGGAGTATGACATAGATGGGATGGAATACCTTGTTGGTCAGTTTTTGGTCACCTATCCTGTCCACACTCTTCCACAGGTGCCACTCTTTTACAACTTTTCACTTGTTTAACAGAGGGCCAGCAGTGGCCTTGGTTCTCATAGGAGTAAGTGTAAATGGGCCTTTCCGCATACCAGTCCTACTGTTACTTTAGTGGCAACTATAAACATCAAGCATTATGAAGTCTGAAAGCAGACACTGTCTGAAAAACATGTAGCTGCACTTTCAGAAAGTGCAATTACTTAGAAGAAACTTAACTGAAAGAAAAAACTCCTGAAAGGAGAAATAGTCCTGTTGTAGCCAAACCAGGACACAGCGAAAATCCTACTGACCCACATTGGTCAAGCCTATGACTCTGAAAGCTCCCAACACTCGTATAGCATCATTCTCCAATTTTTGTTGCATTTCTGACAGCCTAATCTCTTGTTTTTGAAGGGAGGAGAGACAGCAGTTTTCAGCTATCTTTGTCACCTTCCTCAGCTTGGGCTGTTCTGGGAACTGAAGTGATTTTACTTGCACCCTCTTGGGCTATCCCTTGAGTGTGGAAAATCTCCTACCTCATTTTGATGTCCCTTTTATGCCTGAGCCTTTTTCTGACAAGTACATTCTGCCTAAGCTCACCTGTAAAAAGGCCAATTTAGATTGTCTTCTGTGACAACTGATCCTAAGAATAGGTCTTTTAATGTGCCCTTGTACTTTTCTTGCTCTGCTGCCTGTTTTACTTCTGGACAAAACACTCAGCTAAGTATAAATTCAGTCCTCAGCTGCTGTTTTCAGGGTCAGCTTCTCTTTACAGGTCTCCTTCAGGGGATTCTCTGACCATTTAGAATAAAGGCCATGAACTAGATCTGAGTTCCTCTGGAAATGAAAATGCTTCGCGTGTTCCACATCACCATCTGAATATTAGCTCTGCTATATAGTTTGCCTTCAGCTGCCCTTTAGTTGGAAACCACCTTGAATTGTCCAAACAGAGAGCCCAAGTGTTATACATAAATGCAGATGAAGTGTAGGAGGATGGGCACTGGCATTTCAGTCATTTGGAGATTTTTACTATTAATCTCTTTGCAGCACTGACAGCCCATGGAAAAACTGTTACCTCTTATTACTGTCAGCTCGAGAAGCAGTTTTACTGCATTATGTAAAGGTGTCCTACATCCCAGGGGTAAAGAAAAGCCTTTGTTTTGTTTTATTAGGCTGACACCACACAGTAACCTGGATTGAAATTGATGGAATCAGACTTGTAGCATCATATCTGCTGGTTATCTAGACAGAAAGAATATTGGCTGACACTGAACCTGGCACAAACCTTCCTTTCAGTTTGATGTTCTAGCTGGAAGGGAACAGAAGCCAGCCAGCGTGATTCTCTGAGTAGGGTTGTTGCAAATGGTGAATGCTCTAGGAGTAAATGGAGATGAAGACAAGAGAAGAAAAAAATCTATAGATAAATTAAAAGGAATTGGAGAGATTGCAAAATGAGTCTTTCTGTGATGACAGCAGTATAATTAGAAAAGCAAGATTGTTTGAGAAGATGCCAGAGGAAGACCTGTTTAATGAGCACGTGTCTGTATGCATGTTTGTCAGGTGTTAGAAGTAAGTTCTTCTGGTTGTATTGTAGTGAATGTGTTTGTTTGCATAGATTCCTAAACTGATTCTACATCAAGGATAAACCTGCTCAGTGCTGCTCAACAGGGAATTGCATTGGGCATGAAGAGAAAACAGAAATTCTTTCATGGTGCCTCATCATGTTCTCCCTTCTCCTATAAGTCATCAGGAGCCTTTCACTCAGAGGTTGCTGTTTCAGTGTGTGGGCTCTTCTGCTTCTGGACCTTGTAGAGAATAAGAAGACCACTCCTAGAGTGACATTATTCCCCCTTCTGCGTGTTGGACAGAGCAGGGTATGGGTACGAGAATAGCTCTTCTCTCCACCACCTTGCAGTACTACTTCATCAGTAGCACACTGGACTCAGCATTCAGTGGGTCTGCAGTCACAAAAGGGCTGTCCTAGAGACCATCTTCTAGAGCAAGGGATGAGCAAGAATCACTGGCCATTGGATCCAAGTGCCCTTTCTTGTTCCTGCACCTCTCTTGATATGGCTCTGCTTGGCTCTCTGGTTGGACTGGTCCACAGCAAGACAATCCTGCCTGTGGGAATCCATGCCTGAAGTGATAACAGACTGTGAGGAGATGTGTCTATAGCTATGGTACATATGCCTATCAGTCTGGGACTTATTTTGTTTAGCAGTATGCATCTTGTATGGGAAGTATATATTTGACATATGAAGTTGGTGATGGGAAGTGAAGAATGTGTTTTGAGTTGTATGTTCAAGTGTGTTGTATGAATCTTTCTAAAACTGTAGACAGCATTTGTATCTGCACACAATGCATTTGGGGTGGTGAGGATTGTCTGCAATGCCTGTGTGGGAGCTGATGGACTACTTTTCTCTCTGACCACTGGTGGTCATGCACTTCCTTGCATGAGTCTTTCTGTCTTATGGTTGCAGGAATAGCAGGGATGAGCAGACCATTGTGCGTGTCATGGTTGTGTATATGCAGTAGGTGTTATCTCTTCCTTCTGAGAGCACATGAATGTGTATACTGTGTGTGATCTTTTTTTAAGATAAAGCTGTCCAAAACTCACAGTATAACTTACACTTTGCTTTCTCAGAAAGGATTCTGAGTCCCAGCCCATGACTAGAATCATAAAAAGAAGAATTCACAGGATTTCAGAACACATTTATCACCTGATATATAAAATGCTCTTTAATCATTTATGGCCAGCATTTCACAGGGACTATATAATACAACTATTTCAGGACAACAACAAAGAAAAGAACAAATGGAGCTATAGGCTCTGGCCTCTGGTCGTAAAGGCAGAACTATGTTCTTTTTCCAACCCTATCTATTCATGTAGTATCACTGGGAGACAGAGTACCCTTGTCTTTTCAGGGTGCCTTTCTACTACAACAAAGAAATCCTGAATACTTAGTTGGGTGGGACCAAACAATCCAGCTAAGAAATTGAAAACACTATCTTTTTATGCTTATATCAACAATAAATTACTTAACTACTTAATTTAAAGACTGTTTCCCATTATAGCAAGTCATGTCTAAGTCTTTATGGAACTTCAAATGACATTCAGCATCATTGCTCAAGCAGGAAAGTGCTATTCAGATTGACTAAGTACACCAATGTAGTATACCAATGCACTGTACACTAGTAGTCCCACAGCATGTGAGTAAAAGTGCAATAAGGTCCTACTCACTGGGAGCTGTAACACCCAAATCAAGCCACATAATTAAATCAGTTGAGCTGGAACAAACTCTGAATCTGCTGTGTAACCATTTGCCACGTGATGCCATTTAAGTAATAATCTCTATGAATAAAAAGTCTTGATGAATGATTCTGTGTACTAGTTCTACATCATAAGAAGAAATGGGGTGGATGACTGAACAGACTCGCTGGAAGCCAAAAAGTTTCTCACTTTTCCCCTCCTTGTCCCGATTTTGCTTCCCTTTTTATTGCAGCACTCAGATTGCAGAATGACAGTCTAACAAATTCATTCTCAAGCTGCAGCAGCTATTGGGCTATTGATTTTCAGTGTGCTGAGAAGATAGGAACATTCTGCACTGTGAGTTGTAGTTTGAGGTTGGCTTTTTTTCTCCCCACTAAGACACTTTTGGGCTTGGTTCCAATGTCAGCCTGTTAACATCACATCTTTACAAAATCGTCCTGCAGGTCTATGGAGTCAAGCTGTTGGGTAAAACACCAGGAAAAAGAAAAGGATGAGAATCTTATTGCTAGCTCTATAACTAGCATTCTGGGTGGTCTTGCTTGAGTCACCAGTGCCTTGGTTTCCTCAAAATACGAAACTGTAATAAAAATACCTCTGTGGCCCAAGTTATCCTGTTGAAACACTGATAATTATGAAAATGTTGGGATCCTTAGATGAGATGTCTTAAGCAGGCTGTATGAGAACAGAAGCACAGAACTGCAAGTTTACCTGTGTGTTGCCATTTTCTTTGCAAGGCCAAAATTGCTGCTGTTTCCTGCTACTGCAGAGCGAGAGACAAATAATTACCGTGTACATATTTCATCTTTTTTGGGGGAGGATGCCTACACAGTTGAGACATTGTTGCTTTACAGATAATGCTATTGACATCTTACCATGTTCCCATGCTGATTATGACATATAAGCTGCCTTTTCCATTTGTCACCTATCCACCTGTGATGGTCTTACCTTGTCCCCAGCACCTCAGTTTGCCTTCCTTTGATGTTCCTTGGCAATTCTTGCCCTGACATCTACCACACTGACACAGCCATCAGATCCCTGTTGGGTTTGAGAGGGCAAGAGAGACACACGGACAGAACCTGCATCGGCTTGATCTATTTTTCAGCCATGTCAATTTTTCCTAGGTAGCAGGGATAAAGGGAATGTTCTTGGCTAACAAGAAGAGTGACAACCAAGTGAAAACTTTCATCACCTACAATAAAGGGAGAGACTGGAGTTTGTTGCAGGCTCCGGACACTGATCTGAGAGGAAACCCTGTTCACTGTCTCCTAGTAAGTACGTGGGGGGGAACTTGGGTGGTGAACTTGGTAACATCCCAGAACTATCTTTTTCTATCAGGTGACACAAGAAGGAGGGGGCAGCTCCTCCCTCCATGCAGTGTATCTCATGGAGGGAATACTGCATATTAAAAGTGCGGTACCTCAGGCTTGGACTGCCAGGTGGTATTGCAAGAGCTGGCATTGTAATTTAGCTTAATTTAATTTAATTTCTGGAACAAAAGGAAGCGTCATAGGTCAGCTTCCTTCTGCATAACTGATGGTCTCCACTTAAACAGCAGGTGAAGCTGGATGCCGTTTCTGCGCAGTTGATTTTCTGGACACTAGATGGGAGGAGTGAGCTACCGTAGCTCAGGAACTTTCAGGGACCTCATAACTTGAGACAGGTTCAAGCGAACGGAGAGCTCTGATTTCTTTCAGACCACTCTCTTGGCAGTATTAATATTTGTCATTTTCTCTTTGAGCTCAGAAGTGAAAATCGACACATTCATCCAAATATATGTATAGCTATGTACTGGGTGTATGTTGTGTCTGTCTCTGTACTTGTTGATATAGATCCACATATAGGTAAGTCTTTAATCATCATTATATGCAAACAGTTTCCAAGAGTGAAAGTGAAATATAAGCAGTATGAATAGAATTGGAGATCACTGTCAAATTAGAAAGTTTAGACTGTTCTCGACGTATTTTTCAGCCGATATAATCTATACACAGTAGTGGGATAATACTCAGAACTCCAGCCTTTGGGATTCTTAATAGCTTTTGTATGACACAAGTTCAGACATGGTTCCAGGCAGAATCAGGGGCACTATTTAGACTGCTCTTCCTCCTGCTGTCCTTTACCTGGGTGTTGTTTTCCATCAGAAATAAAGATGTTATTTCTCATTTTGAGGCTGTAAATCTGTTAGAAATTGAATCAACATTGTATTTTGTGCATTGTGATAAGTATGAATGCTATGCTAATCTCTTAACAGAACTCCATGCATTATTGTAAGAGCAAAGAATAAATAACTTGATATTTGAAGCTGTTCAAATAATTGATTTTTTTGATTGAGCCAAAATGCAAGCCTTTCATTTTCTTTCCAGTTTGGAAAAAACAAATAGGGAGGATGGGGGCTCAAACAGAAGAGTTATTTCAGAGCATGACTAAATATGTTTGGGTTTGTTTTCTTCTTCCAAGTTTTTAAAAATTGTAACTAAGGTGCATTTTTAAATTAAATCTTTCTATGAGATGACCACCAAGAAGATGACATTTGAAGACTTTGCAGACATAAAACAATTAAATTTTTTGGAAGGGGCTATGTGTAGACACCTTTGAGTTTCAAATAGATTGTAATCTAGTTTTAACTCAAGCGAACATATTTGGTAAAAAACCCACACAGTAACTTTTTCAAATTATGAGCAATTTTTTCAGAAAACCAATATTTTTATTATATGATATGATAGTGTAATATTCTAGAGGTCTGGCAAGGCAGAAGAAATAAAAACCGTGCATACAACTAAAATAATCAAAGTAAACTGTATTCTTTTTCCATAAATTTGAAGTTTGAGTTCTGAAAAAAGGTCTTTCTCAGTATTGTTGTGCACTACTGATCAAGAGGGATCTGACTTGCCATTGTGGTTATAAATGAGCCAGAGGTAGTGCTCTGTGGGGTCCTTATGGAACAATTGTTTGCAGGAACTTTTATATACAAGGGTATGCTGCCACTGTAGTTATCCACAATACAATGGAAGTGGTCGTATGACTGTGTATAAACGAGGACTGGATGGTTCTTATGGAGAGAGGGGATTATGGCTCCCTTAAGCCTTCCTGTCCATACTGTATCTGCTGCAATATTCATGGGCACCTGAGAACATAATGCATTTCATTTAAAATTAGACTAGATAAGCCTGGACAAGCTGGAATTCCCTTGAGGGTGGTAAAATTGACTTGCCAGGCAAGGGGTCATAAGCAGGAGCAGAAGTGTGGGCACTTGAAGCGACACAGCGAGAACTGACCCAGAGGAGCCCTTGATTCTCTGTGAATTGTGTTTACATTCTTGTAGCTCTACTGTGCACCTATTATTTAAACACTGGTTTGTTTTTATTTTGCGCTCTATGTGACCATGTACTTGCACTGAGAATTGCTTTTACCTATGCAAGCTCAATGTAGGCTTGTCATCCTATTTGCACTGGGAAGCAACCACTTATTAAATGCTCTGTGACTTGAACATCTCGGATCTGTGGGCATCTGTAGAAATGGGTCCATGATTTCATGGTGGTAAGGAACAGATCCTCAATGGACTTAAACCATGTAGCTCAGTCTTTACCCTTGCAGAAGGAGAATGGAAAGGAACTTAGTCAGCCCTTCCCTGTGATAAGGCCAGAGGAATGTTTAGCCATGTTTATTTTTCCTCTTCCCTTAATATCAGATAAAACAGGCAAGAGGTATGTTTCCTTGTCTGAGCCTGTCTGAGCACTCCTTCATGCTTAGTTTGTCACAGGCTAGTGGAATGGTAGAGCAGGGATCAACAACTGAGTATACAGGGTCTGAGATTGTCAACTTGCAAATTCGCAAGAAAGCAAACAGATGAAATCTGAAGTAAACTGACTTGTTAGGTTTTTTACAGGAACAGGCAGTTTACCTGCAAGAGAAAAGGAGGATAGCAGTACAGAAAGTGCACCAAAAGCGGAAAGTAAAATAATAATCCTGCAAGCGACAGCCAAGCTATTTAAAAATCTGATTTGAGCTTCACACTTAATGTTGGGGGAAGATGAAGGCAGACTAGGGAATGCAAGAATTCAAGAAATCATTGAGAAGAGACCACAGAAGTTGGGAGTAGTAGGGAAATTTTCAAAGCAAAAGCACTGGAAATGTACATGCCTGGAAATAAGTCAGGGATCCATAGGGTATTCTGCTGAGGGAAAACATGGAGAAAAGGAGCTGTCCTCTGCTCTGAGGCAATCCTGTTCCTTGTCAATGTGACATAGCTGTAGTATCTAAACACTTCACAAACTCCACTCGCCTCTTTAGCCACACTCTGTCTACCTCTGCATCACCAGAAGTTTTACTTCCTTACATCAGTTGCTCCTTTTTCCTCCTACATATTACTGTTCCTGGCATGATCTTGCTTTTCCTTATGGCATAGTTAAGTGAATTCTTAGTAGTTCATTGTACAGCTAGCTTGGCTGCCATCCTTACTCCATGGCAGATACTAATGCTTTCACACTGCTGATTTTCAGAGTAATTCTCTCTGGCAACAGCTGGGGACACAGCGATGACATATGTTCCAGCTTGTTGGCAGAATAAGATCTGCCCTTTCTCAGAGTGACAGGACAGTCCCCAGCCTACGAGTGCAATGCTGTGTCCTCTGTGCATCTGGTCTTTAAACCTAAACTAAGGGAGAGTTAATGCAGAAATAAGTACATAGCAGCTAAGTTGGCAGCTAAGGAGGTTAAGAGGGAATCTAGTTAAAACACAAGGCAAGCCAGATGGAACCATCCCTCCACTGACGGTATGCTCAAGGTGTGTTTTTTTTTCAAAGCAACTCAAAGAATTTCTTTGCATTTTTTGTGAGATGGCTCTGAATAATGAGGATAGAGGAAAGCAATGAAATTCCATCTAATCCCAAGGCTTTATTTTTCTTGTTTATGCCACTTGTTTTCTAAGCTGAATACACTTAATCTTCATAGAAGAGCTGCCAAGGTATTATATCCCAAAGATGCTGGTTTTGTTTGATACTTCTCTTGTGCTGTGAAGTGGTTAACTGAGGAGTAATTCTATCTTGCAAGTTATGGGCATCTGTCTAAGAGAGTTCATCAGTTAGCGTTCAAGGATGGTCTTGTGGTAAAACACAGGGCTGAATCTCAGGAGAGTCTTGATTCCGTTTTTAGGCCTATCTCCAATTTCCTATGTGACCTTGGGCAAGTCATTTATTTTCTCTGTGCCTCCCTTCCCCAGACATCTGTTTATCCCCTCCCACATTTTGTTTGTCTTGTCTATATGGATTATAAGGATTTCAGGACAAAGGCCCATTTCTCATAAGGGGGAGGCATTCATGCCATCTGCTACAGACTAATTTAAGCATCTAAGTGAGGTGTTTTGAATATCTCTCCTGGAAGTGTTTATCTCTCTTCATTGCTCCTTGCTATTTCAGGTGAGCAAATACTGCGACTACCCCTAGGTTTGTGAATAGTGTCTAGCATCATCCTTGTGTTGTAATACTTTGCCCCACTCCTGATCAGGGACAGTCACGAATAGCTATTTTCTGTGTGTCATGCCATTGGAGATGGTTCACATGGGCTTTGCAGAACAGCCAAGAAGTGGGTTTGTAGGTATTTATGAAAAATTTTACTAAGGATTGATGAGCCTCCTGAGAGGGGAGCATAAAGTGCTTGCTTGAAAGTATTAGGAAGCAAGTAATGAACTCAGCATGATTGTAAGAACTATGGCAGTGAGCAGAGCAATGGGCTATGTCAGTCATGATTTATCTTCTTCCTAGGTCATAAATGCTCCATGGCAGTGGTTCTTTCCCTTGGTGTCTGTGCAGCAGCTAGCACAGCTGGGTACTGGGCAATGACAGGGAAATCCAAAATTGGTGATTCTGGTGATAATAATGATTTCAATAGCCTGTTGGTAAAAACAAGAAGGATAGAGGCAATTGATGGAAATTCTAAAAGACAAAGTTGAGATGTCTGTGTATGAGTTAAGCTGTAGGAGCTAAAGGAGGAACACAAAGGGACCAACAGTCTGGAAGAATATCTGTCGATGAAGTATGTAGGGATACAGATGGAGAAGGTGTACGTCAGGGATGGAGAAGAGAATGCTGCTGCAGTAAAGATGTGAGATAGCCATGCAGTAACTTTAGGTGTTTAGCTGGAGTGGAGAGGTGGTTTTTTACACCATACCAAATTTTCACTAGAGACTGTAAGCGTTATTGCACTTTAATGAATAAGAAGTCATGCCACTAAAAATATCACCTCTCTGCTTAGACAGGTCACCTGGCTTTTAATAGTTGAGATATTTGTTCTATTTCTGTGTACTATATCTGTGAAATGAGACAAATTTGAAAGAAAACCCCTGCTAGCAGAAAGATTGGAGTCTGGCAAGGTCTAATCTCTGTCAGAGTGGGGAACTGGCTGAGTTGCTGCCATTAGCTACTACCTTCAAAATGCTGATGTGGGCTTAGAGTATGTTAGTTTTAAAAATGTGTTCTGTATTTAGTCTTTTCACAATGTATAAAAATGTAAAAGGAAATAATTCAGGCTCTTGCAATGCCTTTCCACTTCCTGCATGCATGTCAGCTTGATTTGGTTTCCACTCCCTCCCTGCACCCCCAGGCTGCTCCAACGGCTGCCCTTGCAAGGCTGTCAGTTAGAGTTAGGCTGCTCAGTACATTCCACTTGGCAGGTTGTGTTCCCTTCTGCACAACCCATGTCCCCTTTTCCTGTCTCAGATAAGTGAGAGCTCCCATCCCTCCTCACCACCCTCATTTGCCTTTGCCAAAAAACCCCTGCCGTTCTCCACAGGGGGATTATCATTTCAGAGTCATAAACTCCTACATTCAGATGGGATGGATAGGTGGTCTTCCTCCAGTGACCTATGGGGCTAGGTTTCCTGCAGAGAAAGCCTACAAAAGTTTTGGGGCTTCAGACCTAGCCTTTAGGCAGCTGGTATTAGACAGAAAGACCTGCCTCCTTAGAACCTGAAGGTCCTTCTGCATAGCCTCTCCTGCTTGTCTTACAGAGCTGTGCAAGCTGAAGCATGGGCTTTGCTGTATTTGTGTTCCTGTGTGATGTCCCCCTCAATTGGGTCAGTTTGCTTCAAATTTTCTTGCCAGTATTTTTCTACCTCCCTTCCCTTAGCATGTTTCATGAAGGGCTCTGCACAAAGTTTGGAAGAAAAAAATACTGAAAATAAAACAATACTGAAAGCAAAAATTATGAGAAATTTTCAGAAACTATCACAGTACAGATTTGGAGAGAATTGTAATAGCAACTTTGGAAATCTACCTGTCTGTCTTACATTCTGGGTCAACTCATTAATTCTGTACCATTCCTGTTTTCTCTGAGTACCTGACATACAAAATCAATAACAAATAGGTGAGGTTTCCATGGATGTATTTGTATCGAAATCTCAAAGGTCACATCCAGATGGGGTGATGAAGCATTATTTTAAACAACTTTTAAACTAACAATTTCCAGTTTTGGTATTTCTTCTTAATGCAGTGCAGGACAGAGTCATGTGTCAAAGATACTCAGAGTCAACAAATGGTATGACACTGTCTGAATTAAGTTGTTTCTCATGGCTAATTAGTGGTGACTCAGCACCATACCAATAGGGTTGTATTGCTTCTTGTTGCAGAGATAGCATGGGCACTGCTGCTCTGAGAGTCACTTCATCATATCTGCAGCCTTGCTTGCTTCTCAAGAGAACTAGGAGCCAGGGGAGCTAGGTAGTCCTTACCATTACCTGCCCATGCAATCATCATTGCCTCCTTTGTGAGTACAGCTTCAAAGGTCTTGTCCTTGTGAAAGGGTTTCAACCTAGTGAATCAGTTTCCCAGTGGGAACAGGTTGTGTCAGAAAATTATAGCAAAGCTCTCGCACAGAACCAGGACAGTAGTCTTGTCTTTCTGGGGATGTCTGAATGCAGTGATTAGGAAGTAATACGGAGAGACGCTGTATATTTCTAAGTCTGTAGAAACAGGAGAATGCATTTCATGTTCTATCTGCTTTTTATTTATATTTCCTGTTTCTCCATAGCCCTATTGCTCCCTTCATCTTCACCTGAAAGTCTCAGAGAATCCCTATACCTCAGGAAACATCGCCAGCCGAGACACTGCCCCCAGTATTATTGTAGCTTCAGGTATGAAACATTTAAAGATTACCTGTGTATGATGCGCAAACACTGACAAAATCTTGAGTTTGTGATGGGTGTGGAGGGTATTGAGTGCCTTGTGGGGTGTCACACAACCAGTATTGGGAAGGAAGGCAGGCTGTCAAATCGAAGTCCTTATGGACCTTCAACTAGTCGTATATTTTTTATGGAAACTGGCCTTCAAGACCAGGGAGATAACCTGTAGTCCTCTACTCCCATGAACATAAGATTCAAATCAGGGCATTTCCATTGTATATGGAAGTGTGTAGAACTGTATGGATTTGATCTTTTACATCTATTTTCTTCAAACTGAAAGCCCTGCCCTTCCCTTCCCTTGCCTTCCAGTTCTATAATTGCAAAAGGTAAACAAACATATTTACTCCCCTGATTTGCTAATTCTACTGTTTCTTAGAGTGTTGCATCTTTAATCAATGCTCATCTTACAGGTAATATAGGCACTGAACTATCAGACAATGACATCAGCATGTTTGTTTCTTCTGATGCTGGGAACACTTGGAGACAGGTAAATGACATAGAATCACAGGTTTAAATAGTAATCATAGGAAATTTTCATAAAAGTAGATTCAAACTGTCACATAAGTTTTGTTTCCTTTGGTTCAGAGTAACTTTTTGCAAATCTTTACAAAAGGATAAACTTCTCTTCCTTCTGAGAGGTAGAGAGATGGTCAAAGGAAAAGACTGAATATGTCATTAGACTTCATATAACAGAAAATTATTTGTATGATTCTACTCAGAGTTTGACTTCAGTTTAACCTGTAGCAAAGAGAACAGATTAAAATAGGAATGCTAAGGGGAGAGAATGTGTTTCCTTTTACTATTGTACATGCCCTGTACCAATCAAACCGTTTTTCTCTTCATTCATGAGACTTTCCTGAGAATCAGCAGTTGTACTGCTCTACTTTCCCTCACTCTGTGGGACTCATTTCACCTAAGTTGAATTGTCCAAAATTCAGTGTGTGTATAAACCATTTATTTTGCCTGGCTCTTAAGCTAATGGAGAAAAAGACAAAATTCAGTTCATCTTGTTCTGAAGCTACCTATCTCTCCATTAATTGTGGAAAGAGACTAGGTAATGAAGTTAAATCAAGTTCCTAATATTTAGTGGAATCCCACCTGTTAACAAAGCATTGCTACCCTTTAATGCGTTTATCCTTAGAACAGGTGGTTCTATTATTCCTATTTTCTGGATGAGATATCAAGTCATGGAGAGAAAGAGTGATTTTCCCAGACTGACAAATGCTGCCACATAAACTGTAGAACAGATGTTTGCAGAGAGCAAATACAAAAAAGACACAGAAAAACTTTTAAAATGTTGATTTTCCAAGAATGCAAATCTTTACAATGTTTGACCAGCCCTCATTTTTCTACTCACTTATTTGAGATAGAGCCAGATACATGCAAACTCATGAAGTTCTTCTTTAAACAAAAATCTGTCATTGAAAGGAAGGAAATTGTTGATTCTTGCAAAAAGTCATGTTTCTAACTTTCTGTCAAGCAGAGGCAGAATGCATTTTCCAAGGACCTGGAAAAACTACAAAAAAACCAAACCAAAACAAAATCAAAACCACAAACAATAAAAAACAAAACCCAGGAACTGTCTCTATACAGAATGTCTTCCTCTACTCTGTAAATTCCTTAGCACATATTTTTCCTCTGTCATGATCATACTTAAAGAACTATGACATGTTCTTGATACTAGGGAAAATAGGTTTAAATATATGCTTTTTTTTTTCCAGATCTTTGAGGAAGAGCACAGTGTTCTGTACCTGGATCAAGGTGGAGTATTGGTTGCCATGAAACACACATCTCTGCCTATCAGACATCTCTGGTAATGACTCCGTCTCTGCTAAATGTCTGCTGTCCCTCTTTTCAGATGCCAGGAAGTAGGCAGTTAGGCTGCATCCAGAGTTTTCTGTAGCTACAATCTAGAAAATATCAGTTAAGATACTGGCAAAAATTAACTCAGATAAAGCTAAGAGATCCTGGCAATTCCAGTTTACATAGTTTCAGCTTGTCCAGATCTGAAATATAGTCAGTGTAATTGCATGACTTTCCTGATTTACCACAGCTTGGCTTCTTGAGTTTGGTTATTTATGTAACATGTATCTGGATTATGGCTTTGCCTCTTACTAAGTTACCAAAGTACTCTTTATTTTCAAAAGTATTAATGAACTTGTCTTCTCTGTGACAGGCAGCACTTACGAACCAGAATTTGGCTGAATAGATTCAGGGTTATATCATCAATAAGGCAAAAGTGTCCCTGCTAGTTAGCACTCTTGAGTTTCTGTGGTAGGTAGAATATGGCTTTGTGCTGTTCGTTCTGCATGATTTACTTCCACTACAGTCAGTGTCATATCAATATCTGAAACACACAGACCCAAGTCTTAAAAAAAGTGATGAGTGGTTCCAAGCTTTCATTTAGACCCACCACAGGGAAGACTGCTGGTCAGAAGAGGCCAAGCTTTTGTGCTCCAGAAATCTAACCTCCTTAAAATGTCTTGTGTTGGGGACCCAAAAATAAGATGCTCAAAATCAGTTGTTTATTTTTTAAAAATCCTACCTCTAGGCTACCTTTTGACCTTAAAGCATCAATCTCTAACATAACTTGATTAGTTTCTACCACTTAAATATCGGCCATGTGTTAGTGTTAGTGGTATGATACCAAACAAACTTGATCAATGCTCTGATTTATGATACTTCCCAAAAGAAAAAGTTATTTAAAGGACTAAAAATGCAGTATCCAAGAACAGAAGCTGCTTCCCACTTCTCCGTAGCAGCTGTAGTGGACTAGAGAGTCTCCTCAAGTAAAGTAGGAGGAGAGTAAGGAAAGAAGACACTAATTCTGCTTTCTCCACCAGGTTAAGTTTTGATGAAGGGAGATCTTGGAGCAAGTACAGTTTCACATCACTCCCACTGTTTGTAGATGGAGTTTTAGGGGAACCTGGAGAGGAAACTCTCATCATGACGTAAGTGAGCATGCCATCATGCTACTGTTGATGGGAACTGCATCATAAATACCTTATGAGAGTTGTTCGTACCATAATAACATTTCTGGTTGGGTACCAAACCAAGTACTATCTGAAGCCAGGAGTATGCAGTCTTCTGTTGCTAAATCATCAGTGTTTATTTGAGATATGATTGAGGGAATTACAACATGGTTCCTTGCAAGCTGTAAAAACATTATCATTTAGCTTATCAGCGTGAAACCTGACTCCTCAAATTGAATGTGGTTTAAAGCAGAGTTATTCTTGAAAAATGAATATATGAAAGGAAAATGGTGGGATATTTTTATAACTGTGGTTTTGCTGCTACTTTCTTTTTTTTTTTTTAACTGAGACACAGAAAAATGAAGACATTCTTTTGTAAAAATGAATGGCAAAATGTTGCCTGGAGGCTGTCTCATGAAAAATTATAAATAGTTTCAATGTGGTATGCTGAGTTCTGCATGGTGCATAAATCTGGATTCACCCTGCCAGAAGCTGTGACATCTTACCTGAGATCAGATTTGCATTTGCAAAAACAGGAGGAAAATTCAATTTCTGTCTGTAAAAAATGGACTGACCTGTAACAAACAGAATATGTGGCTTGGAAACTAACCTGAATTAACAGAGACGTATGAAGAATGTTCCCTTCAGCTTCTGATTTTAATTTGTTTGGAAGGGATTCCCAAAGCTTATAATTGAGATATCAAACTCATATAGATATAACTGTCTCCAGCTCCATGTCAAGTCTTCTCTGTATACTCATTTTGGGGATTGACATAAGTGGGAGGATCTTGATCCACAAAATTAAAGCTAGATGCAATTTTTAAGAGGGTTATAGATATTTAGCTGCCTAAGTTTCACTTCCACTGTATCAGTCAAGTTAAAATCAGTAGGACTGCCACTCCTAAAGCGATTAATCTCCATTGGAAATTTGTTGGTGACTGTACCTCTGTGACTACCAGACTATCTGGAGCTACTTTTTACTATATGCTCTTTCTGCTTTATTCTGTAGAGTGTTTGGGCATTTCAGCCACCGCTCGGAGTGGCAGCTGGTGAAAGTAGACTACAAGTCCATTTTTGATCGGAGGTGTGCAGAAGAGGACTACAGGCCTTGGCAACTCCATAGCCAGGTGAGAAGCAAGGAGGCTGGGATCTGACCTGAAGAGGCTAATGATCCTACAGTTAAAGATCAGCATGATCCGAAGTCTTTTCATGTTAGTTTGGTGTATCAGATTGTCCCTTGCTGGATGGGTCTTTTTAGTTACGTGGGTGTGTTGCTGTTACATTGCACTCTGTGAGCCCCAAAGGATGAACAGCTGCCTTTTGGGTTTCATTCTCCATGCAGGCAATTAGCTCAGACTTATCCAGAGTTGAAGAATGCAGCAACAGCAGAAGCACTGCCACTGAAAGAGGCCTGAATGCCTTCACTCTTACATCTCCAATCCAATTTCCCCATCCTTACCTCCTTTCTTTTCCTCCGTCCTTCTGTGTCCTCAGAGCCAGTGTCTTAAGGCCCTGCTGGTTGCTTTCACACTTGTTTCTCCAAATTCGTGACCTCTTAGCCTCATTTCTTATTCACTTGGTTTCATCCTTGTTCTGCCTCTCTTAGCAGTGATACTTCTGCTGTGGGAGTCAGGCACTTCATTCCCCAGTTCGTTGGACCGCCATGCCCTGCCCCTTGCATCCTGGATGCAGCTGCTGCATCACTCCCAGAACCACGGCTTAAGTGCCCAGCAAGGTAACGTGCTTTGCACAGTGCCTGCACCTGCCTTGGGGCACCTTCCCAGCTTTGCCAAGTTTGACACAAGAGCCTGTATTATAGCAGGTTAGAATAAAATATGTCCCAAATTCTGTGGTTATATAAACACCACAGGCTCTGCTGAAGTCTAAAGTGAAACACCCATTTATATCATCAAAGGTTGTCTTTCTGTATGTATCTTGCTAGGCAAGAATTTAATAATGAATACGAAATGAAAGTAGCTTGACTCAGACTGGCTGCTCAGAAAAGGCACAACTGCACACTAAAAACACTGGTTATGACTTAGATCTTTAGATGTTGAAAATCAGTACAGCTTCCTTGAAATTCAAGGAGGCACAGCATTTTACACGAGTTGCCATTCAGGCCCTTCTCTTTCATGGACAAATCAAAGCCATGAAAACTTTCTCTTTCCTACAGTGATTTTAACAGCATAAAAGCTAACAAGTGAGACCCCACTGTATTTTGTTCTTAACTTTCTTGTGCTTGCATAAGCAAAAATGCCAAGGATTTTGCAGTATATCTTTGCAGATGTTGGCTTTAGAGCTTGCAGAATTATTTTTAGGAAGGCTGCTATGGCATCTTGCTTTTTGATTTACTTTCCATTGAGATTACAAGGCTGAACCTTGTTCCCTAGATAGAATTATTTAGCAGGGTGGTGAAGATAGGAGTAAAAAGACAAGGAAGTTTTAGCATCCACATACAAGTCAAACCCTATAAAACCTGAACTCATAGTCCATGGAAAGTGTTTGCATATACACATATTACTAGTTCCTACTGAACAAAATTATTGCCAAAGAGATCAGACCAAAGAAATAGACCTGCTCTGTGTCTCAGATTGCAGAGGGATCAGACTGTGTTTTCAATTGCTGTGAAACCTAATCTATAAATGAGAAATAGGCCTGGATCAATTGCTCATTGGCTTTGGAACGAATTCAGAACTGAATCGGATACATAAGTAACCTCAGATAATTTCTTAGTGTGTATTGGAAAAGCTGTTTTATCTTCAGTTAAAGCTTCAATAGATTTAATTAGCTCCAGTGTACTGACATGGCATTTGACTTCCCATCCTCTTTCCTTGAATCACAGGTCCTATTGCACAGGCTTGGGAAAATTGGGTGATACAAATAGCGTGGTGGGTGTCAGATATTTTTGGTTTTTCCAGGGAGAAGCTTGCATCATGGGAGCAAAAAGGATCTACAGGAAGCGCAAGTCAGAGAAGAAATGCATGCAAGGAAAATATGCTGGGGCTATGACCTCGGAGCCATGTGTGTGCACAGAGGCAGACTTTGACTGGTAAGCAATGAGCACAAGAACTGTGTGCTCTCTACCACACCAATGCAAAGCTCACTAGAGAGGCTGTAGACTTGCAGAGAGTAGAAATTAATAAACATGTAAGTGGCCAAATAGGTTGCTCCCTGGTAGTGCAAGTATGTCAAAAGAAGGAAAGGTGGAATAGGCATCTGTAAGTGGCTAGGACTCCCACAAAAGTGATGCTGGACAGACGATTTTCCAGGTCACATCTGAGCTCTGTGCAGCATTAAGATAAAAGGTCCATTTAGCACATCTAACCTCAGCAATGACCAGGGGTGGCTGTGAAAGTAGTAGGTAAGGCACATATAGTGTGCGTAAAAAATAAAATAAATTCTTCATACATACACACACATATCCAGAGATATGTATATATGTGTAGAAGTAAATATATGAGTATGCAAAGCAGGCCTTCAGCTTCTGGAAATCAAGTATCTAGGGAATTTCTGGGTCATTTGTTATATCTGGACCATCATGTTTGATAGTATCCAACAGACATTGCCTTCATGATTTGGGTTAACCTCTGTCTGAAGCCTTTTCTCCTCTGCTGTATGCTATAGGAAATAAAGTCGATCAGGGAGTTATGAATGGTGTGATAAAATGTTCAGCTTCTAGTTTCATTTCAAGATTCAACTCACAGCAATTTGCACAAAAAAGGCAAGGAACCATATTATTGAAATCTCTCTATCACCTGTTTTCTCCAAGTCTGAGGCAGCCCCGAGTATCTCAGAAGAGAGAAATGGTGGCTCTTTGGCAGTGCTGATAAACACGCTTTGTGCCTCACACAACTAGATCTATGTTATGTTATTAATTAAACCCAGAATCTGTAACATGCACCCTGAAGAGGTTCATCCAATAAATATTTTGTTCCTTGCTATATGAGTTCACTCCAGGACCATGGAAATGTACAGTGTTTCTCTTCTCACCCTCCCATAACTGTAGTTGTATCAGTTTTTCTATATAAAATCACAGAATCACAGGAGGCTTTTCCATGTTTTTAAAAAAGTAAATCCTCTTGCACCAATTACAATTATGAGCATATTTGGGCACTGATTCTCTGAATATCGTTTCCTGATGATTTCCCCATCTTCCAGTGAGTTTTTTGTTAGGGAGAACATACCTCAGTTCTGTGTGTAATTCATCATTTAGATGCCCAAAGGTCCTGGATTTCAACCATTTGACATACTCTAGTAATGTAGAAAAGATAGCAGCCAACCAGAAAAAAAAAACATGAATAGGAAGGAAATTCCCTGAAGATTTTGACTCTGTTGTAGAGCGTGCAGTACAAAGCTGTGCCAAGTTCGTGCCCAGGCTCAAGAAAATAACTGATGGGATTGAGTCACGCTGAATGCGTTAGCAGTTAAACCTGTTACACTCGTAAGGGCACACAGTTGTGAAACACTTCGGAAACAAATTTGCTTTCCTTCCAGAACTTCTCTCCCTTTGAGAATGTATGTTTTTATTTCATTAAAATTGATTGTGTGGTTTGCTACTACAAAACTTTGTTGCTAGGTACAGAACAAAAGTACCACAGTGACATTTGCTGGGGGAAACATTCTTTTACTTGTTTTACATCCACTTTGAGGAAACTTTCTACAAAAGATGTGCTGGGTTGTGAGAGAACGTCTAAGAGAAATCTTGGATGATTGGGGATGTATGACAGATGGTCACAGTTCACATGCACCAACAAGATCTCTCGAATCTGTTGGAAGAGGCAGAATCAGGACTTTGCAAAAATCATCTTCTTAAAAGTAGTCTGAGAAAAATACCCTTAAAAATACTGCAGGTCTCTGTGCTGAGATGACTGATAGAAAACCTTCCAGACCTAGGAGGGCCTTGTTCCTTCTTGTGGAATCAGCTTTGGTTTAGAGCAGACTGTTGTGATCCTCTCCAATTCTCTCTGAGCTCTTGTTATTCCTACAGTCCTCAGATCTGGATTTTTACTTTATCCATTTCAGCTTTCTTCCCCAGTGCCTCTGAGGAAAAAAGACTGAGACATTGCTTTAAGCACCCAGTTCAGAAATATTTACCAGCAAGATGCATCACTTATTTATCTACTTAATGCAGTCAGGAGCATAATTTTACATAGATTTGCCAGACAAGGACAGAAAAGCCACAGGGAACAGAAGACAGAGGTTTATAAAGGAGGGACAAAAGAGATAGCAAGAAAAAAGCAATTCTGCTGGCTCTACTGAATTTCTCAGCCCAGTTTTATTGTGCTAAGAAAGGCAAAGCTGCTGCTGTGCTGTAGCATTCAGTGCCGGCCTTGTTGAAGTCTGCACTAGGCTTCACTGCCAGTCCACCCTGCAGAAGTTCGTCCCAAGAGGCATTGGGAGGAAAATCAGTGAATGAATTCTTGCTGTGGAAGGATGTCCTCTGTGGAGTCCTTCCTGCAAAAGGAAGAAGCACTTTCATCATCCTCTCTCATGACATTTCAACAGTGCTTTTGAATTCTCTATTTCTCTTTTTCTGCTGGGCAGGGCTTTTAATTGAAGGAGATTGAAAGGAACATGTATCCCCCAGGCAGGGAGAAGCCCCTTAGCTGACTGCCCTTGATTTTGCAATCTTGAAATAAACTGGGCAGCTTTTTATATTAACATGAATGGTTACAGGACCCAGACTTGTATGCAGAGCTAAAGAAGACAATGATCCCTACCCCAATCAGACTAGGACTTTCTTTGCTGTTTAAACACTGAATTTGTAGGGAGAAAATTTTATTATCTAAGCTTATCAGAGCTTGGAATAAAAAAACCATGTATCTGTGTGGTCAGGTAAAGTGAAAAAAGAGAAAGTGTTATTGCTGTTAATCCTGTGAGTGCTTTTTTATCAGTTCAGGGGAAAAAATGCTGGTTATAAAAGACATAAAGATTTTATAATGTTTTTTCTCCTGGTAATATCATAGAACTCCACATTCATTTCACATCTATATTTAGCCCATGGTAGTCCTTTCTCAGAGAAAAGGGCATATTTGTTTATTGTTTTACACAGGAACAAAACTGAGTGACATTAGAAATTACTGTAGTTTCTCTGGCCTTGGGAACCTGAAGTCTTCTGACAGTAGACATCTCTTATCATGGGCTAGAACCAAAACTAGCTGGGGACAGGGCTGGAGTGACAGGTATTTGTTCTCCGTGCAGGGGCTGAGGCTGACAGCCAGAGGGCAATAGCGCTTCAGGAATAGGGGGGAGTGAAAATGTGCAAATCTGTCCTAGCAACGGCCTAGAAACGAGAATGTCCTTCTTCATTTAATTGATTTGGGTAAATGGATGACACCGTTACTTGCGTGTTATTAAAGCATTAATTTACCCGCTTTCCTCACATTGTGTTCCTTCCTGCCGTTTGAGCATTATTACAGCAATATCTCTTCAGTAGAAACACCTCCTAGACACAGATGGAAATCTTTGGTGGTGTTCATCCTTCAGCTACCTGTCTCCCAGGTCCTTAATAGAAACTTGGAGTTAAGCATCTCACTGTCCGTCCTCCCTCTGAACCCACTGTCATTAATACTGAGGGCTTCTTCTATCAGTATTCCCATATCTCACACCTTTGTCGGAAGTATGACCCTGAGAATCAGGTCTGTTTATTTCACTGGCGATATCAGCAAGGATTTGGCTAGCTCTTTTCTTATTGTCTGGCACTTAAATTACAGACCTGCCTGCTAGGTTTGGTTCTTATGCTAAAACATCAGAGTCCTGCGTCATGAGAAACTGTCCTGACAAACTATGGGGAGGCAGAAGGCGGATACTGAATGTGATTAGACTCTCTTGGCTTTGTGTGCTACCACTCATCAGTTCAGATGGTCATGCAGATGCCAGTTCTGAAATACACACGCATTTGCACTCTTAGGTTAACTAACTTTGCCTTATCATTGAGGTAGGCTTGGTCCGTTGACGAATAGTAGTTTTGAATGAATTTTTAGTTCATTTTGAACACTTTTGAAAAATGCAGATTCATTATGCAACGTCTACAGTGCATCTCTGCGTCTTTAGGGGCTTAGATATCTACCAGGCATGGATTTACCGGAAAGATTTGGGGGATTTTCAGTTCCCTATTAACATAAGCTGGTATAGCTTGACTCCAAATACTGTGATGCAATTATAATCATGTGCCTTCATAGATCCATAATTCAAACTGCAGCTGAATCCATCCTTCTATGAGATAAATCCCATATCAGATCCTGTAGAACTGGGAAGCAAACACAGCTCCCCTTTAACACAAATCTACACTTGCATCATAGTATTAGCCAATGGAATTAAGTGAATGAAAGGGTGGTAAGACTTTTCCACATCTGTGGCCACAGTTATTTTTGTCCACAAGGGCTTTTGGAAACTGCAGAACAAAGGTGACTGTAATCACAGGTACCTCAATTCCACTCCATTTAATGTCTGAAAAGTTTGCAAAGCACAGTATACAAAACCACAAGTAGCATTTTCAGTTTCTGGTGTGGTTGACCTAAGGTGAAGCTGTTAGTGTTAAGGAAGCCCTGTGGTTACATGTTGAGTCATCTCAATTTTTAGAAGGTATGAGCATGGCAATCACTCATCTGACTTAAGTGGTTATTTCTACATCTTAAAACAGTGGGATTTCAATAATTTCACATAGATTTACAGTTCTTCCATGACAGTATGTTTGTCAGGTCTGTATTCAAACTACAAACTTCCTTAAGGGATTTCTTTTCCTTTGATTATTACCTGTGCTGCAATTAATCTTAGATAAGGGAGTTTACCATGAGCTTTAAGCAGGGGTACAGAACTTCTGGAATGAATTCATGTCTGCCTCTAATTACAGAGAAGGACTTGGAATACTACTTGAGGAAGACAAATAGGATTCCAGTTTAAACCAGTAAAAGTGGCCAGGGAAAACCATCATCAGTGAGAGCCACAAGATAGGGTGTTTAATATTGATAAAACAATTATAAATGCTCCACTCTTTTTTGATAGGTACTTTATCTATTTCACCTGACTTCTTTTCAGGCAGGCACAAAATTAACATCAATATATGCAAATTCTAATTCCCAGTTACCAGGCAATGACTCGGCTAGCTGATTGCAGTCTAAAGCTGATGCATTCCCTGTCTCCAGATTTTGCTATACTGGCTTATGCTATGGCAATCCAATTGATGCTAATGCTTGTTGATTGCTACAAAGCCTGTTGTGCCAAATTGTAGGCAGCAATTTGTTGTCAGCATCAGTGTTCTGCGTGCACCAGCCTGTAGCCAAGGAACTCATTAGATTCCAAGACTGCGGAGGTGAACGGGCAGCTGGTGCATCTGTAGAGAGATATGGAACAGCAATTCATGTCATTTACCGGGATGATATTTCTGTAGGGCCATAATGAGCCAGACAATTTGCAAGCCTGAAAGCAACACTATGAAACTTCTGTGCTTAGAACTATTTCTGCTTTGGAAAATCCTATTATTTCATTCTCTTGACTTCTAGAAATATGATCCAAGTATAGTCAAACCTAGTTAAATTAAGCTGGGCTTGTCTAGATGTGCAGGTACTAATAGAAACCAAAATCATGGCATGAGTCTAGACGCACGTGTAGTAAGAAATCCCAGGCTGATACTACTGCATCAAATTGGACTGTGGGTACTGATCCCCTCTAAGGCAGATTTCACTGTGTTATTTTGTTTTGTTTTCACCTGATTACAGAACATAGCGTGTGTACAGTGTTACAGCTTTTTAATTAGAGTGACACGTGATAACTTAGGAATATAGTGCTGCAGAGTGTTGACAAATGAATTACAAAAATACAAGAGTCCCACTTGTATGTAAATATTTGTTTTCTCTGAACAAATCAGAATGGTGTTATTCTTCATTATAAAGTGTATTCTGCAGCTATAGTGTTCTTATTCCAACAAGAATGATTAGAGAAGCACATGGCCATGGGAGAATAGGCTGGCTGATACTTCCAAAGCAGTTAAGCAATATTCAGTCACTAGCATCTGAGTAAATAGATTGATGAAAATTCAATCAAAAAAACTGAGGAAAATACCGTTTAGGTCACCTACTTCATTGCTGTTTCCTAGAGTATGTTCTGAATTACTTGTAGATATCCTAAGCACCACAGCTGCCAAAATGGTCCTTTGGAACAGTCGTGCAGTCTAATAGATGTTTAGGAGTTTTCCCAAGTGAGATGAAGCTTTAATTTTCTTTTGCTTAATGTCATCTTTTTAATTTCTCCTTTTTTAGGCTGCCTCAAAACATTTTTTTCCTTGATTTAGAAGGAAAAATTGCAGGCAGGAGTAAAAAGTGGTGACAAAATTCCTCTCAGTGTCCCACTTTTGATAACAAGTATAAGAAATTTAACAAAAATAAATTGCAAAATATTCTCTCCTTTTTTTATTTTGTCTCATATCTTAGATCAGTACCAAATTTCTTCAAATTGTTCAATAATGATTCATTACATGTTTGTTTTAAGCCGTCATACTTTGGTCCAGAATGGAAAAGACATTTGAAAAAAGTCTTCATTATGTTAAACATTCTTTTTGTTGTTAATATTATTTTACAAATATCATTAATCACACTTCTGCCTGTTGGGAGATGCTGAATCCAGTAGCCTGACAGAGGTGAGGCTGCTGCAGCTCTGTGTCCCCTGACCCAAGCAGTAGCAAGGTTGAGCGTTTGTTCCTGACAGGCACACATGTGCATGTACACACAGTGCATATATGCACACATCTGATAACACAGACTAGCACAAACAGAAAACATAGCACTTACACAAACACCAGTTGCCTCATCCTGTTCCCATCTCTGGTTGATCAAGATGAAATCCCGTTTGTGGAAAACATGTGCACTATAAGCATACATACAATATTGATCCCATCAGTACCTGGTCTTAGACACCAAGATCTGTCCAGTATCTAGCCCCTGGATGACTTGTCTCCCCAGTTGCTTCATGCATAGATATACACACACGTAACAGGCCTCTTGAGCAGATCCAGACTTACGTGGCGTCAGACCAGTAGCCGTTCCCTAGACCTCTTGGTCTCTCCAACAACCAATTCACAGACAGTATCCAGCCCAGATTTATGATGACATCAGCACTTAGCTCCCAAGTCTGTTATCCTACTCACTGGCTTGTCTGGCTTGGTGCTCACCTGCACAGTACGCACACACTCCAGTCAGTCCAGTTGCTGGCAGTGTGGGCACAAGGACCCCTGTAACTCGTGGTCTGAGTCCAGTTGCTAAGACGTAGACCACCACACACACAGAACAGATAGCCCCTCACCCAGGAAAATTGAAATGGAGATGCCACATGCTCTTACCTGGCATGGCATAATGAGCCCCGTACCTTTGTGTGCAGCAACCCTGCTCAGTCATCTGCAAAGTGATCTGGAGAGAGCCTCTCCCATTGATGATCTGGTAGGTCTTAACCTGGCCACGGGCTTATGGCTGTCTTGAGACAGCCCTGGGAGGAGCTGCAGCAGAGGCTACGCTGACTCCCATCAGGCTATTAGGGTTCCTCCACCTCCTGTTTTTCCTCTCTGCTTCTTTACGTACACAGAGATGAGCCTTTAATCACATAATCTAATGTTGCCCTAATCCTCTTTTCTTAGAATATCAGCCTACTTGATACCAAGACTTTAAAGATAATAAGCAAAAAAAGTGCTTTGCAGAGAAGTGCCATTTTAAGATCAAGCATCATGTTGCAACTGGAATATTGGAATGGAGTTGGTGGACTCTCTATAGCAGTTCTCAGAAATGACATCCCATTAACTTCTCTGCTATGGGCTATGGAGAAAGCTTAGTAAAAGGAGTAAGAATCATTTTCCAACTAAACAGTCCTCATTACTCAATGACTGGAGAGTAAAACCACATGTGAATGGAGTACTGTTTAAAGAGGTTTTTTGTTTGTTTATTTGTTCCACAATAACAATTTTTATAGCATCTTTGTTCACCTGGAATCAAAAACAATTTGAACTGTTGTGTAGTGGAACCAAAGCAAATTTAGTCATAGCTAAACCCAAACTGGGACAAAAGATTACAGTTTGACTTTTTGTTTCCAACATGTGATTTTCGGTAGCATTTCCACTTCCAAGCAAAAAAAAAACCAAACAGAACTGAAGATTGCAGCCGCCTTTTCCATTACCACACACACTGTTAATACCTTCAGCCGAGAGCTCTCTCAGGGCTGTAAGTTTTCCTCTACAGCTCATGTAATATAGTTTCCAAATATAATTAACTGTTTAGCACTTCAGTTTTCTAAGATACGACTGAGATAGCAGTAATTGAACTTAGCTTAGATCTCTAGCTTTTATTATATTTGAGTCTAGAGTTGATACCAAGAAGCACTGTTAGACTGTGGAGGGAGAACACTTAATGCACTAGCTTATAAACTACCTGGTCTGATTCTGCTTGTTTGTACTGGGATGTATGCAAGGTAACTCTACTCCCTCCAAAAAAGTTGAAGTGGTATGAAAAATCTGTTTTGTGAATAAAAAATCAGAAATCCTAGTGAACAGATTGAGGAAAATCAAAACTTGTATCAATAGTAGAGAACATGGGTTAATCCCTCTATTTTTTCTTTTTTTTTTTTTATGTAATGGTTTCTTTTAATGCTAAAATAGTGATTATGGATATGAACGTCACAGCAATGGGCAGTGTTTACCAGCATTTTGGTATAACCCGTCTTCCTTATCAAAGGACTGTAGCCTTGGACAGAGTTATCTCAACAGCACTGGGTAAGTGACACACCAGACTTCATTTAGCTGAAACACTCATATGGTCTTTAACCCAATGACAGCTACAGACTGCATTTACTGTAGGTGTCTTAAAGCTGGCTGAAGCACTTGGGACCTCTTCTTCGCTGACTATGTTAGGGTGCACGGTCTGGCACTCTGGATCTCCATCATGTATGGTGTAGACCTTTCTCTGAAAAATGATGCCTTAAAGAAACTTGGGGGGGGGAAATGTAAGGCAAAGGCCAAATCATTAAAGTTTCTGGAAAGACTCCTCTTAAAATCAAGTGGGATCAGGTGTGCCAGAAATGGTAGAAAACAAGTTAGAGGAAACTGATGTATATGTGAGCAGCTAGCCTGAATGCTGATTATTCTTTGACCCTCTTTGAAGTCAATGGAAGATATAATTTAAGATAACATACAGACCTCAAACGTCATTTCTGGTGTGAGTGATTAAAGCAAACAAAGGAACTCAAGCTGTGTTTTGGCATTTTGTACACTCAAAGATAGGCAGAATTTGCTTTTCTTCTTCAACTCTCTTATTTTTGTAGCTCTCGAGGGTTGCATCTTTAGGGAGAGTTGCCTCACAACTGATGAGAAGTGGAGAGCACATGAGAAAAGTTGAACTATGCTGTATGTGTATATAATTTATTTATAACTTTATAGTTATTTAACATGTAACAGAGCATCATGTATTTTTATGTTTTAGGCAATTTATTAATATGTGGTATATAGGTGTGCTATGCAGGAAAATATTATGTGCTGGTAACAACAGCATTGACTACTTGTATGTTAGGCGCATGAGGAATGCTTGGCTGAGACAAATGCTAAAATGTATTTGGGAACCTGTTTTCTTCCAATCTCCTTAGTCTAAAAAAGCCTCAAAAGTGCCTCTCTGTTCCTAGTTAACCCTGTTATGCTCCCTGTGAGCATCTTCCACAGATTTCTCTTTTCCTTTTCAGATACCGGAAAGTTGTTTCTAATAACTGCACGGATGGGGTGAGAGAACGATACACAGCAAAACCACAGCAATGTCCTGGCAAAGCCCCGCAGGGCCTTCGCATAATCACATCTGATGGCAAACTGACAGCTGAGCAAGGACACAATGTCACTTTCCTGGTGCAGCTGGAAGAGGTAGGCTCTATTTTTATGTTGCATCCCAGGCCCCATGGGTGTATTTGAGTCTGATACATGCCAGACAGAGTTTGCAAAGTGGTGAAGAGATGAACCAAGAGAGTGTGGGATGAAGTTAGTCAGCTCTGTGATGTAGCTGGACGGAGTTTGTTCTAAAATGTAATCGATTATGTATGGAGATGATGAGACTGTAAGAGTATTGCAGTGCATATCTCAATAGCTGGGAGAAGTTGATAAAACTGGGAAATGTTTTGGTTTGGAAATTTCACAGTAGAACTGGAGAATGCAGGTTTGAATCCTGATCCCCACTCTTAACTGTGGTTTTGACTTCTTGCTGTGTTTGAAACTGAATTTCCATTTTTACTTGCCACTGACTTTCAGCCAAACATGGCTAAAAGTATATGTGCAGATCTGTCCCCATTGCACAAGTTGGTACATATTATTTAGACGTTTGAGGATGAAATCTCAAGATGTCATCAGCAGTATTAAGTTTGAAATTGATTACAAATGTGAAGCTGATTCAGACTCTGATCAGAGCCTGTGTTTTTGTTACATCTGTAACTTAACTTGGTATTTCATTGTTCTTCTCCCTCCATTTCTGAATCCTTAGAAAAAAAGTGTTTAAATCTTCTCACCTGCTTTTTCTTCTCAGTTCTTCTTTATCTATGTTTAATTGTAGGTGCCCAAATAATAATATTCATAAAGTAACTGTTTTCTCTTTTTCCCTTATCCAATTTGATTTTAAACTTCTACCCTTTTTCCTGTGTAGCCGGCCAATAAATCCTAGAACAACTATGCTTTTACACTAGGGGATGATGTACATCCCTTTACAGCTTAGAGCATTCATGGAAATTACTTCTGACCCTCTCTGTCATAAATGTCATCTGTAGTGAGGAAAGAGAAATGAGGATGACCTCTGGAGCTGAGTTTTGTAAGGGTGTGTTGGGGTTTTTACATCTCTATTATTGATGCTTTCCCCAGCAAACAGGTGTCCTGATTTGTAAAGGCAATAACATAGAATAAATCATATCTAACCTGAAGCAGTTGTTTGACCTGAATGTTCATTTTCTCCAAAATGTGGTCACTTTATTTCAGTAGTGACAGTCATGCAACATTGCTACTGTAGATGCTGTCATAACAGTATAAACATATAACTTCATTTGGATAAATGATTGATTTCTGTGTTTAAAGATGAAGAATAAAAAGTCCAAACAAGATTCAAAGTCTTCAGGTTTTTAAAAAAAATCCCCCCCAAAATATTGTTCATTGTGCTGCCTTTTTATACTCAGCAAAGTTTTAAAACAGATGGGTAATCTGAGAAGTCAGCCACAAAGCTATCAAAGAATTATGCCAACAGTCAGAGGGAGAGACAATCACCCACAGTGCGGGAAACTTGGGACAAATGTCCTCTTCTTCCTTCTATGAGTGTTTCAACTCACATATCCTGGAAGAATACCCTGACCACTCTGTCATACAGGGATCTGCTGTGAATTGTTCTGTCTTTTCTGTTGATTCTGATCTTTTTTGATAGACTTGCTTCAGCATTCACCAGAGTCTGAAAGCAACACCCTCTCCGTTAGGAGATGGTGGCTTTCTCTAGCTATGTATCAAAGAGTACATAAAGTATGTTTTGATGAGTGAGTCAGCTTCTGAGGAGATCTAAAGGGAGCCCTTCTTCAGTATATCTAATAAGGGAGAGGTTAGGAATTGCTCTGAGGGCTGAAACAGTATTGATCAACCTCTAGCCTTTCTGATTACTCTCCCTGCTAGATGATTCGACCTCATGCTCCTAGATTTGTCAATATAAAGAGTTTACAGAGCAATCAACAAAACTTTTGGGTGAATTTGACCCAATGTGACAATGACTTTGGGCTGATGTTGCAGCAAAAGAAATATTAAAAAAAAAACAACAAACAAACAAAAAAACCCAGAAAATTTGCCTAGCTACATGCAAGCTATAGGAGAATAAACTATGGTTATAGCAGCATAATTGTATATACACTAAAGCACTTACCAAATTAGCTGTTTCAATAAAATATCACACCACTCACTAGAAAAGTTAAACAACCCTGCAAAAGAACAGCCACCCTTTTACAACACAGATATTACTTTCACAGAATCACAGAATAATTCAGATTGGAAGGGATCTGTGGAGATTGTTTAGCTCAACCCCATTTCTCAAAGGGAAGTTTCTTTCCCTTGCAAACAAGGCAGAGGTATCACAAAACAAGAACTTGCCACTTTCTGTTTAGTTCTGCCCGGCACAGGTATACAACATAGTACAATCCAGGATGTTTAGCATCTACAAAATCTGTGCCACTCCATTTTTGCTGAAGAGAAGGCATTAGGCAAGTTAAAAAAGGCTGGATATGTCCGTGTATGCATGCATGGTTTTCCCAATGGCATATGAAGACAGTGTGTCCTATTCAACCCTTGCCCCCTGAGTGATGGTCAATAATTTTAAGTTCTACACCCTGGTGAGGATTCTTCCTTTAGCTTGTGTCACAGTTAATATATTTTAGGATGTAAATAAACAGTGACCTTTACTTATGTTATAGTCCCTTTGCGTTTTAACATCTCCTGTATCCCTCTGAGACAGTTTGTTTGAAGCCTTCAGATCTGCAGAGCTGTTCCATACACTGCAGCCTCCCAGATCACTTCTTTCATGGCGATATTCCACTTGACCTGCAGGAAAAAAAAAGATAAGAAGTTAATGAGCCAAAGTACAAAAGTTCGTTTCAGATTTGTACCCCTATTGTCTTTTTAGGGCTTTCTGCTCCATCTAAGAACCTACCTGGGTCTGAAAAGAATGAACTGCAGAGGCAGGCTCACTGGAGGCCCTGAAAAGTCACTGCATATCTGTAGTGGACAGGATTACTAAGAGGGTAGGGGGAGGCAAATGGCAGCAGTAAAAAAATGATATTTTCACTCAGGTGTGGGATTCAGGGGCAGGAACCACAGAGCAGGAGTTTCTTGTAGAGCCTGCTTGTGCCTGTGGTGATGCTGAGGGCTGGGACTGTGTCATTCTGAAAATAACACAATGTCAGTAAAAGATGTCTGAAGAGAAACAAGGACAAGGCATTCAGAAGTGTTATGCTATTGAAGAAGACACAAAAGGAAAATAATCACTGAAGTCTGTGTGAGTGGAGAGAGGGCAGGCACCAAAACCATCAGTGTGTAGAGAATTGCTGATTTCTGAAAGCTGGGATTCTGGCCCAATTTCTCTAACTCTGACTCACATGGAATTTTCCTATAAAGCATTTATATCTGGCAGCATATAAATATCATTAAAAGCAAAAACAACCAACAGCTCATATTTAAGTTATCTGAATACGAGAATGCTTTCTGAAGTGGTCTAACTTTCCTGTCACCTTTTAGGATTTCTGTATGACTTCTTAAAAACTGTTTGCAAAGTCACCTTGCACTTAATATCTTTGGTCCCATTATTGGAAAGGTTTGTCCAGGTTAGTTCTCCTATTAATCTGGGTATAATCATAGTGATATTCTTACTGGGAAACATCAGTATTTTGTTTTATAAACAGCGTATGTCCATTGTATGAAGCATTATGGAAGTGTATAATAAGCAGAGCACCATACTTAAACTGGTAATTTTGCTCTTAAATTTCCATTGAGCTAAGCAGAATAGCAACAGCATCTTTGTCACTAAATGACAGCAAAGGAGAAAACTAGTTATGCTTAAAAGCACATTTTCCCATTGCCTCAAAACACTGCCAGTTTAAAGGTTAATTCTTTGCCCTGTCCTGGGCTGTATGCACAGACCCAAGGCTGGTATCTGTCACACTGCAGCGTTCAACAACAGAGTTCTTTCTCAGCCTGAACAACCTCAATCCTTACTTTATTTTTGCACAGCAACAAAAGAAACACAAAACCAAAAATTACAAAGCCATTCTTTCCTACTGAAGTTCCTCAACTCAACGTCCTTGACATATTTTGCTGTTCTGTTGTAGAAAATGGAGGAATTTTATTAAGTGGGTGTTGTTTCTGTGTGCCTTCCTCATCACACGGTCATGTAGGTCTCTTGCCTGTCACAAACCCAATTGTTATCTGTGCGTTTGAGTTATTTGTATGAACATCAGATACTTGTGCTTGTTGTACTGCTTCAGCAGAGACACTGAAAGCTACAGCCTTCAGAGCAACGCTATTCAACACAATGGCTTTCAAACTTGTTTCATCTGATTGCTCATACATCTTTGCTGAGGAAATGGACGGTAAAGACATTCAGGGCAGAAAGGTTCAGGGCTTTGGCTGTTTCATTACAGATAATTCACAGAGAAACTGCCTCGTCTAATTTATTTTTTATCTTGATAAAATGACAGCCAAAAGTCTTTGACATTCCAGGTCTGTCTCAGTTCTTACTTGACAAAGTCACTCCACTGGGAGTAGATTTTGGCTTACTTTTGACTACTTACTGCTGCTATATGATTTTTGGATTAGACTAATGTGTGGGGAAAGCTCATTTGTTCCTACAGTTCAGGCCATGGGCTAGAATTCAGGCAATCTGACCTCATTCCTGAACTGCACTCTGAGCTCCTTCTGCATGACCTTGAGTAAGAAACTTAACCTTTCTGCCTTTTTTTTCCCCTCATTTGAAAATAGAGCTTTGCTTTCTCCCTCATGCCCTCCACGCCTTTCATTTATGTGCTGAATGCTCATAAGGCCAGAGAAGTCTCTCTTACCATGAGAATATACAAATGGAGTCCTGAATTTCCTAAAGACCACTATGAATTTCTGTAATGACAATGTTAATAAATGGCTGTACAAGGTACGTTGTGTTTCAGGTACATTTAATGAGCCTGGGGACCCTGCTGGGGGAACAATACCATTAGCTTTTCCCACCTCAGCACTGTTCTGTGCAATTCAGAATTCAACTCAGCTGTAGTCTCTGGAGATGAGTTTAGCATTAGGATTGTTTTGATTGTTGATGTACTCAAATTAAACATGCAAAGTTAGTAGTACTTAAAAGCATAGTCTGTATTTTT